TTTGTTGTTCTAGAAACTATTGCCTAATTCCAGATCACAAGTATTTAATCCAGTGCTTTTTCTATGAGACTTATAATTTTAGATCTTCCATTTTTGTCTGTGATCTGCTTAACATATTACTGAATATTTCTGTATTATTCAACATTTTTCTTAGAAGTGGAATTACCAAGTCAGAAGTTGCATATTTTTGAGACTTTTGATAATATGTCTTAAAATTGTTGTGACTCTGGCTTCTCCCTATCAGTTGCCTGCCCTTCCTTCCTGTCTCCCCATTGCTCTTGTTCTGGCTTCACATTCTCTCTCTCTATTCTCTTTTTAAATTTCTTTTTTTTGTAGTTGTAGATGGACATCATGCCTTTATTTTATTTGTTTATTTTCATATGGTGCTAAGGGTTGAACTCAGTGCCTCACACATGCTAGGCAAGTGCTCTGCCACCAAGCTACAGCCCTGGCCTCCTTCACCATTTCTTGCTAGTAGCTTCCTCCGTTTCCTAAGGAACACTGTCAAGGCAGTGTGCTAAGAGGAGTGCTGTGGTGTTGGTGGGTGCTGGGACTGTTCAGAAAAGGAGTAACCTAACCTACCCTGATAACGGGAGAGGGCATTGAGAAGGACTTCTGGAAATGAAAAGCAAGCTGACTTTGTAAGTGGACAGGGCATTCACAAAGTTGTTGTTGTTTTTTTTAATCTTTATTTTATTTATTTATTTTTATGTGGTGTTGAGGATTGAAACCAATGCCTTGCACGTGCTAGGCGAGTGCTCTACTGCTGAGCCACAACCCCAGCCCACATTCGCAAAGTATTACATGAAGCATTTGTATCCTGGGCTGGGAATAAAAGGCATGTGCAAGGTCCTGGAGGTAGTGTCAGTATAATGTGGTGGTAAGAGAGTGGACGTTGGCTCTGTCACTTCCTGGCTGTGTGTTCTTGAAGGGAAAAGGACTTACCCTCTCTGTTAGTTTTCTCATCTGCAAAATGGAAATAGTAGCTAACACCTAGGTGTTGCAAGAAACAGCATATGTTGACATTCTGGCCGAGTGGCCAGTCCCTAAGGGGGAGCAAGTGGATGAGGACAATGTTGGGTCTTTTGCTATATAGGAGGCATCTTTGTGTACAGTTTTGGAGCTGAAGCAGTCTAGACCATCTAGGATAGTGAGTACAAGCTGATCTTTACAGATTCCAGTTTTTATTACTTATTAATTATGTAACCTTGAGTGTGTAATTTACCATTTCTGTGTCTCAGGTTTTCATTTGCAAAATGAGAATAACAATTCCTTGTTTCTAGGGTTGTCATGATTAAACAGTTAAATGTTGATGATTAAATGAATTGATAAGTACAAATGCCAAATTCGTAGAATAGCACCTGGTGCATAATATTCTCTGTGTTAGCTCTTTTCACTGAGAGAGTTTTGTGATGATTTTGGCACAAAGTGGACTTGTACTTGATTGCTTGTGCAAAGTCATGGAAAGTCTTTGAATAAAGTAGGAGACCAAGCCAGAGACCAAAGTCTTTAGTCCTTACAGATTAGTTGCCAGAGACCAGGAGAGTCGGTAGCAAGAGGGGGAAAGAGTGATATGACCGTGGGGTGAGCAGGAGAGGAGTAGGGGATGGCATGAAAGGGTGGAGGAGTGGTGGTCTGGGTGTGGCAATAAACAACAATAGCCGGAACAGTTATTTTTATTACTCTGGAAAGGGCAATGGGGAATGAGAATGCCAGCTCTTTCTACTGGGATCCATCCTTCGATTTGCACCCACGTGTTCATTCACTCAGCACTTAACTTCTGAGTTATGGGTCAGCCACCATGCTGACCATTGGAAGCATGGCCATAAAGAATTTCCTGCCTCCATAGAACCTACTGTTTAAGGGCAGAGAGAGACAGACATTAAACAACATTAGTTGTGTAAGTCATTAATTCATACAGATTGGGTCATGCCACTTTCCCCATTTCATAATCTTTTATTTGCTCTCCACTGTTGTGGAGTAGACAACCCTGGCTCCTATGCAGGATCAGGCCCTAGTCCTGTTCTTGGCAGCTTTTACAATTACTGCTACTCCCTCCCCTGAGATTCCAGTGCCCCAGGACTACATACTGTGCCGTAGGTGACCTGTAATATCTCCACAACTCCCTGGCTCTGCTCATGTCCCCTGTCCACCCAACACATTCCTACTGGGCCTTCAAGGCTACTGCAGCAAATGGGTCTTCCTTTGGGAGACCTTTCCTGGTCACCATCACTCTCCCAGACATGTTTCCAAGGTACATTTTTGGATTTTCTGGGACTATAACACCTCATTTATATAATCAGAAGGGGCAAATGTGGCTCCAGCAGGGAGAAGGTCATGACAAGCCTTTGAGTCGGGAATGGGCATGGAGAGCATATGTCAGGGAGCAGGAGATGTCCCTGGTAGGATGAGCCCCTTGGGGCAATCCCCAGGGCCTGGTTCCACCCCTTTAAGAACATTAGGGAAATCTTTGGATATGGAATAGTCAGAATGTCCAGGATGCCAGTTTCTTGAGGGAGAGAGTCGTTCCTGCTAAGGGTGCCAGGAAAACCTGCACTGGAACAAAGCAAAGTTACACATCTCAGAATGGGAAGGGGCAGGCCCAGCAGAACCTGCTCAAACCTTCTCTGAATGTTGAATGCCCCTCTCTGCTTATGGGGGTTGGCCCTATCCTCCTTTAGCCACCAGTGAATGTGACCTTCCTTAGCTGCCTTCTCTGTTTTTGAGATAAATCTCAAAGCCCTTTGCTGGTATCTTGGGGGAACTTCTATAGGCTGAGGAAGGGGAGACTATTCTGAGGCGGCTACACAGAGAGGTAAGTGAGCCTCTCAAGGCAGACTCTCAGAAATCTAGTAGTGTGGCCTCAGAGATTCAGCAGTTCCAAACAGTAGCTGTTGATTACTACCCAGGAGACCACCTCAGTCTGAGCTTCATGGCCCCACTTTATGTATCTCCACCAGAAAGGCCAGGGCAGGCGAAGAGCTGTCCTGGCAAAAGACAGGGGAACATCAGGCTGAGAAAGGCAGTGAGAATATTTAGATAGTTAGAGCAGGGCCAAGGCCAATGTTGGTGGCGGCTGGGAGGGTTGGCAGGTGTCAGCAGCGGACTGAGACACTGGCAATTTCTGCTCCAGCCTGAATTGCAATGGGCCCAGGATCCCTGTGGGTGCGGACAGTTAATCTCCGAAGGCCAGAGTCACCACTACTAGAGAGCAGGAACATTGAACTTTTCAATCACATTAATTTCCACAGGAAATTGTTGTCTTCCTTTTGTCCAAAGGTTAGTGATTTATATTTACCATCCTCTTAACTAGCCTTGAAATTTACTGTTGCCAGGTCACCACCAGCATCCATAAATTTCAGGATGGCAGCTGAGCATAGCCAAGTGACTTGGTCCTTGCAAAAGTACATACCCACCCTTTCAGGGGGTGACTATCTAGCTACAGACAGTCCTTGCACAGATGTCCTTCTGGGGGGTGGGCATTCACTTTGCAAGGAAACGAGGTGAGTTCTGTTAGACAAAGTTGCAGGAGGCCCTTCAGCAGCCATCAGAGACAGCTGGCTCATGCCTGCCAGCACATCACCCAAGGAAGGTCTAGCTATGGGCAGTGGCACAAGAGCTGTTCTAGGAGTTCAGTAGGAGCCAGATGCCTAGCTCTACGCTCCCTGTGACACAGGCAAGACACTTAATCTCATTCTGCTTTTATGTTAGAATATAGGTGTGTGTTTTCCTGGCCGGACAGGGTGGGAGGTTTGCTAAAACTTGGAGTCATTCTGCCTCATGTTCCTGTTTGCACTGTCCTATCCATTGCTCCTCTTAAGACCTTTTTTTTTCCATCAGCTCTTGGAATTAGAGCAGAGACTGAGTCTGGCAAACTTTTTTTTTTTTTTTTTTTTGGTACCAGGGATTGAACTCGGGCACTCAACCATATCCCCAGCCCAATTTTGTATTTTATTAAAAGAAGGGTCTCACTTTTTGCTGAGGCTAGCTTTGAGCTTGTGATCCTCCTATCTCAGCCTCCTGAGACACTGGAATTACAGGTGTGCGCCACTGCATCCAGCTTGGCAAACTTTTAAAAAAAAATTTATTTAATTTTTTTAGTTGTAGATGAACACACAGTATCATTATTTTATGTGTATATACATATAAAATAATGTATATATTTTGTGGTGCTGGGGATTGAATCCATGGCCTTTATGTGTGCAAAGCAAGCACTGTACCAACTGAGCTATATCCCCAGCCCCTGGCAAACATTTTCTGTGAAGGCCATTAATATTTTAGACTCTGTGAGCCATACACTCTCTGTTGTAATTACGTTTTAGTATGAAAGTAGCCATAGAGAGTAAAATAAATTGGATGATATGGCTATATTCCTATTAAAGTTTATATGTGGACACACAAATGTAAATTTTTTTAAAAATATTTTTCAGTCACTGATGGACCTTTATTTTATTCATTTATTCATATGTGGTGCTGAGAATTGAAACTAGGGCCTCACATGTGCCAGGCAAACACTCTACCACTGAGCCACCACCCCAGCCCCACACAAATTTAAATTTTATATAATTGTCATATGTCACAAAAATATTATTATTTTGATTTTTTTAACCATTTAAAAATTTAAAAGTCGTTTTAGCTTATAGACTGTACAAAGGTGGTGGGCCTGATTGGGCTAATGTTTGCTGATCGCTGGTTGGAAAGGGAAGTTACCTGGAGAAGGTGTTCACTTTCCCCTCCTGGGCTGTCTTTGAATCACTAAAGAAAGGTGCCCTTAAGAGAGCTTTCTAGTGATGCCATGGTTCTTCCTGAGAGATCTGTAGAAAGGCAGTCAGGGCAGGACTCGGGCAGGAGCCCCATGGGAGCCTAGAGCAGAGAGGCTGGTGGGATGCCTGGGCCTGGCACCTGTTGATTTCCTGCCTTCAGCCACAGTGGTGTTAGCTTTGGGTCAGTCAGAACCCCCATCCTACCTCCCGTGTTGACAGTCCACATCTGTGTTTCAGAGAACAACGCCAGACAAGGTGGGAAGGAGGCAGGGCCGCGACTGCCTGTGGTGATTCTCTTGGGCTGGGGTGGCTGCAGGGACAAGAACCTTGCCAAGTACAGCGCCATCTACCATGAAAGGGTGAGTACTGCAGGCATGTGGATACTCAGATGTTGGGATCCTGCCACCTCTGGGTACTCTGTGGGGAACTCCGAGCCTCTGGCTGCCTCACCTCTGGGCTGCAGTGAAAGCTGACCCATTCTGTGACAGGCCTAGGAATAGTGTTAAGAACAGCCTGTGAGGAAGATGATGGGGTCATGGGGACTTTGGCAGGATTATCCCCCGCTTTGCTGCCAGCTTTGTGTCCTAGTCTAGCTCCTTCAGTCCCCTGACCTGCTTCTCTCCTTGAATCCTGTGGTGGGCGGCCTTAATGTTGTCCACACTGGTGGAATCAGCCCAGGCCTTAACTCCTGTTGACTGGTGTGCCGGGCATAGTTCCTGCTCCCAGGACTTTCTCCTTTTTTGCCCATAGTCACATTCCCAGAGTCACAGGGCCTCTTGGAGGAGTCATGATGCTTCTCAGGATGCACTAAGAGTTGACTGTAGAGGTGGTAACTGGAGAGGGCCCTAGGAGAGCCTGGTTATATTTTTGAAGTCCTTTTTTAAAAAAAAAAAAATTTAGTTGTAGATGGACTCAATACCTTTCTTTTTTATTATTTATTTTATTGATGCTGAGAATTGAACTCAGTGCCCCACACGTCCTAGGCAAGCACTCTACCACTGAGCCACAACCCTGGCCCTGGAAGCCCTTTTATGTCTTTGGTCTCTGACTCTTCTCTGCCCTCCTCAGGGCAGGTCTCCCCAAAGCAACCTTTGGCAGGGGTATTGGTTTAGACAGCTCCAGATGCCAGCTGGAAGGCCCAGGCAAAGGAGTAGGAGTCACCTGGGAGAAAGGCCAGCTGGTGCCCCTTTTCTTGGTCTCCTTCCACTGACCAATGTCTATGCCATGCCTGAGCAGCATGGAAGCCCTGGAACAGGAGAAGGATTGGGGGAGAAAAGTAGTTTTGAGTTTGAAGCCTCCTCTCAGCCAATAAGCCTGGCCCACCTTTTGCAGGCTGCCTCACTCCTCAGGTTATCTCAGCTCCTGAGCTCCACTCACTGGCTAGGCTTGGTCTAGCTTCTTCATTAGAATAAGATCTTTGAGGGGGACTGGGGTTGTGGCTCAGTGGTAGAGTACTTGCCTAGCATGCATAAGGCACTGGGTTTGATCCTCAGCACCACATAAGAAACTAAATAAACAAAATAAAGATATCGTGTCCACCTACAACTAAAAATATTAAAAAAAAAAAAGATCCTTGAGGGCAGGCAGAAGAATAGGAGTGATTGAGTGTGCTCAGTACAGAGAATGAAAGTGCAAATGTCTAGAGGTGAGGCTTGGTCGGGGGAGGGTTTTCAAGGTGATTTAAACAGGGGCACAATGTTAGATTTGCCATTCAGAAAGCACCTAACTGCAGAGTAGGGGAAAGATTGGAGGCGCTGGGGCTAGAAGCCAGGAGAAACTTCGGAAAGGGTGCAGTGACCCAGAACAGGATGGTCAGGCCCTTAGGGCTAGTGGTGTAGGTAGAAGGAAGGTGATGGGTGGAGGAGCTTGTCACGAGATAGGAAGGTAGCTCATAAGAGATTAGGAGTGGGCACAGGGATGGAGAGGAGGGGGCATGTTCTGGGTAGAGGGAGGTGTGTTTTTGAGTCAGGAACACTAGAAGAGAATCCACAGTTTCTGGGGTAGACGAGATCCCTCAGGAGTGTAGAGAGGGAAGGAAGAGGGCTGGGATAGCCCTAAGGAAACCAGACTTAAAGAAGTAGAAGATGAAGAGAATTCTATGAGGAAAGGAGGAATGGAGCCAGGGGGGAAAGAAAGCCCAGGAGGACATGACAGAATCAACAGAGAAACAGACCATTGTAGGTGAGGGAAGGAAGATGTTATGTGGGCAGAAAGTGTGAGGGAGAAAGTGTGAGGCACGATTCCAGGGCAGGCAGAGGGGCTGAAGGAACAAGGCTGGTGGAGTGGCAGCCTTGGCAAGGAGGGGACTGACTTTATTCCCTGGTAGGAGGAGAACAGGATGGGTGCCGAGAAAAACTTCTCCAATCCCAAACTCCAATATTTAATTTCTTTTTAGAGAGACAGACAAAGGTTTACTATGGAAAGCAGAGGAACATTCAAGGGAGAATGCAGGGCCATCTCCAGAGGGAGACAACCTTCATTATTTAAAAGAAAATAAAAACATCATATTCCACCACCTGGAGATGACCTCGGTTTATACCATAGGGTAGCTCTTTCCAGTTTTTTTCTGGATCTTCTCTTTGCCTGGATGAGATCTATCAAGTGTACCATTTTGAAGCCTGCTTTTTAAAGATCATGCTTTCCACCTTCTCATGTTAATTAATTTTCATCACTTCTAGTTTCCAATCCATGTTCAGATGCCCAAATTGTCCTCAAAGTGTTCTTTACAACTGATTTGCCCAAACCAAGATTCAATCCAGGATTACACATTGTATCTAGTTTTTTTTTTTTTTTTTTTGTTGTTGTTGTTGTGTTCCTTAGGCCTCTATATCCAGACCAGCCCCTTTTTTCATGATTAAAAATGTTCCTTTTTTTTTTTTAAACCAACTGAAGGGACTGGGTTGCAAGGAAATATTTCTAGGAGTGTGTAATCCTCAGGTGCTGCCAGGAGAAAAGTGTGATGAGGATGGGCAGGCCTCTATTAGATTTGACCAAGCCCTAGAGTGTTGGGAGCCTCCAGACCTAGCAGGTCAGGGTGATAGGAGGCAACCTGACTGACCATCCATTTGGCTGTGGGTCATTTAAGAACTGTGTCCACATAATTTTCTCCTGGTTATTGTAATCATCACTGATGATTGTTACAGCTGTTGGTTGAGAGTTTACTGTGTGCCATGTATTGTTTTGGTCACTTAACATACTTTTTTTTTTTCTCATTTAATTTCCACCATAACCTTAGGAGATGGGTGTTATCCCAATAATAGATGGGGACACAGACACAGAAAGAAGTAAATTGTTCTTTATTCATACTGTTGTTAAGTGCTAGGACCAGGAATTAAATTCAGACCTGTCTGACCCCAGAGCCTGCCCAACTCAGATCCCCATGACAAGGGTGTTTTGTCTCTAGAATAGGTTTAGGAGAGGGATTAGGCCCCAGGCAGGCCTTTTTCAACAGGCCTAGAAGGGGACCTGTCTGGAGGTTTTGAGGTACACTTGGCTTAGGCAGTGAGGTGTCCAGAAGCCTAAAGGGAGTTTGGGCCCAGATTTTAGAATTTGAGGAATAGTATTTACTGTATTTGGAATTTCAGGGGGAGTCTGAGGAGTGATCCTAGGCTTGGGAACCAGACAGATTTGGGGGTCAGGCTCCTGAAACCAGACAGTATGGATTTTGTTTTCCGGTCCTTGGTGTGGGAAGAGGGAGATGACAGTGACTAGAGATGGATGCCATGAGGGTCTGGCTCAGAAGTGGCCTCTGGTAGTCGAGGCTGGGGGCTTGTAGGCTGTCTTAGGTGTTGTGTCTGGGAGGTAGGGAGAATGGAGAGAAGTCGCTGCAGCAAAATATAGGCAAGCAGTGAGACTTTAAATGTACAAGGTCTGGGGTAGGCTTGCGGTATGAGAAAAGATGTTCTGATCACTTTCAAAACGTGCTCATCTCCAGGCCTCATATACCATCCCAGAGGCGTAGTCACCATGAAGCCATGAATCCAAAAATGGACCTTGAGTATACTTTCCACTCCTGCAAAGTACCTGTGTCTGTGAGTAGTGAGCTGGTGCTTAGGCTGAAGCAGGGCCTAGAGCTTTGCTGGATTCCATGGCTCTATGGAAGTTGGGGTTACTGGGCCTTTTGGATGTATCTTGTGCTCACCACCCCCACTGCATCCCTGGGGATTGATCAGGCTTCTCTTCTCTCCCCAGGGCTGCATCGTGATCCGATACACAGCCCCCTGGCACATGGTCTTCTTCTCAGAGTCCCTGGGCATCCCTTCACTTCGTTTGTTGGCCCAGAAGCTGCTTGAGCTACTCTTTGATTATGAGATTGAGAGGGAGCCCCTGCTCTTCCACGTCTTCAGCAATGCTGGCGTCATGCTTTACCGCTACGTGTTGGAGCTCCTGCAAACCCATCGGCGCTTCTGCCACTTGCGTGTGGTGGGCACCATTTTTGACAGTGGTCCTGGTGATAACAACTTGGTAGGGGCCCTGCGGGCCCTGGCAGTCATCCTAGAACATCAGCATGCTTTGATGCGCCTATTGCTCCTGGTGGCTTTCACCCTGGTGGCAGTCTTGTTCCATATCCTGCTTGCTCCACTCACTGGCCTCTTCCACACCCGCTTCTATGATAAGCTACGGAATGCAGAATCCCACTGGCCTGAGCTCTACCTCTACTCGAAGGCAGATGAGATTGTCCTGGCCAGGGATGTGGAACGCATGGTGGAGGCACGCCTGGCCCACCGGGTCCTGGTACGCTCTGTGGACTTTGTGTCATCTGCACATGTCAGCCACCTACGAGACTACCCTACTTACTACACAAGCCTTTGTGTTGACTTCATGCGCAGTTGTGTCCAGTACTCAGGTCCTACTCCAGAAATAAATGCCTGACCTCTCACAACCTATGTCTGTCCTGGGGGACTTCTAGTGGTCTTAGCGGGCAGGAATGCCTGGGTAGGTTTCTGTGGAACCTTGTAGTTGATTATTCAAACAAGTGCACCAGTCAGGCGGCTGATTCCTGTAGCATTTAGCATGTAAAGGGTTAAAAAAGCAGGGGAGGAGGGGGTTGAGGATGAATCTCAGAGTTGATTTAAAAAAAAAAAGTTGTGGGGCTAGGGAATGGCTCAAGTGGTAGTGTGCTCGCCTAGCATGTGTGAGGCACTGGGATCGATTCTCAACACCACATAAAAATAAAATAAATGTATTGTGTCCACCTAAAACTAAAAAATAAATATTTTTAAAAAATTGTGGTAAGAACCCTTAACATGGGATCTACTCTCTTAACATAAAGTTCCAAGTGTATGTAATACACTTATTAATAACACCTATTGTTAACTATAGGTGCAGTGTTATATAGATCTCTAGAACTTAATCACCTTGCACAAAGGAAACTTTATACTTGTTGCCAGAGTTGAGTTGATTTTCTGACTGGAAGGTGAGCTTTATTGGGGAGGTGCCAGAGGGTAGGGTCAGACTATGAAGGGGGCCCCTTTGATCTCTGCTCCAGAAGGGCAAAGTCCCACAACATAAAGCATGAATCCCACTTGCCCATTCAGAGAAGCTTCTCTGACCTCATACCCCAGGAGTCTGAGGTAGATGCCAGATTAGCTGAGGATGCAGGGGTTTGTGCTGCCCAGCTCCTCCACATTTTGCTAGGAAGCCACTGCGTCTGGGAAAGTTGTGAGCTGTCTGTAAGGGGCAGCTGGAGTGGGAAGCAGTGAGACAGCAGTGCTACAGTAGGAGCTGTGGCAAGTTAACTCTGGAGTCCTAAAAACCAGAACCAGGGTAAAGGGAGTTTTGGCTGAAATGATACCATCTCCTTGAAAGGAGACTCATTTGATACTCAAATGAGTCTCCTTTCAAGGAGATGGTATCATTGCAGCCTGCAAGGTGAAGTGCCTTCAGCTTTACAATTCTGTTCCATTTATCATTCTGAGAGTCACTGCTACACAGTGCTGGCACATAGGTATTCAATAAATATTAGTTGATCGAATGAATTTGTTGTGGTAATCAAGAGGCCTGGGGGTCAGGGATGGGCTTTCAAAGTTTAGCAGGCAGTAAAGCAATGGCTGGAAAACTCTGGGTTGGAGCTGATCCCTGATATTCTTAGGGGTGATGGATTCCCTCTCTCTGGGGCCAAGTTCTGCCTGCAGGACATCAGTCCTCTGGGAGTCCCTACTACTGTTGCTGATTCCTAGGCTGTGTGGCTGCATTCTTAGCCATGGCCAACAGGTGGCAGTGCCGCCTGTGCCATGAGACAGCTCCAAGATCCAACAGCATGGCTGGCTTCAGCAGAATGCCCTTCCCGAGGGTTAATGTGCCTATTAGAGAGCACATGGCCTCTAGGGTGGGGGTAACCAGCTATCATGGACCTACTGAGTCCCAGGTAGAGGAGAGAGGGAATAGAGATAGAAAAGAAGTTAACCTGACTGGAACCTGTTCTTGCCATTACCCTTACCTCCAGAAGGCCCACTCTTTCAAGCCTGCTTCTTTTATAGACCCTCAGCCATCAGTGGGGCTGCTCCACTTCCCCAGGGACTATATACATTCCCTGTGACCTTGGGCCCCAGGATCTATGTTCAGGATATTTGGAGCCAACAAGCAGGCATGGGGCAGTGAGGCCTTTGCTGGGCTCCAACCAAGGGTGGCCTGTCATCTGCATTTCCTCTGGGTGCAGGAGGAGGCAAGAGCTGCCAAGACCTGATGATTCTCTGTGGGCATTCTAGAGGTGGGTGTCTAATGGGATTTGGGGAGATGGGAGGTAGGCCTGGCTGTAAGAATGTGTCAAGGAGTTTGGAGTCATGGAAAAACTCTGGGCTCTTGAATTTTAACAGAATTTATCAATCTATTTTTTTAATTACGACGACTATGACTACTTTTTAAAATACCTTCATTTATTTGTTTTTATGTAGTGCTGAGGATCAAACCCAGTGTCTCCCATGTGCCATGCAAGCACTCTACCACAGCCCCTACTCCCAGAATCTATTTTTCTCAAGACATCTTTCTGTTGTGGGCAAGGACTGGTCTGCACTTGCCTGAGAGGCATCCAGGATGCTGGTCTACCTAAGCAGCAGTGGGGAGTTGAGGGAGTGACCAACAAAGTGCTCTGTAGCCAGTGCTAGAGGCCTAGCTCTAGTTCCTTAACTTGAGAGTCCATCTTGGATAGCAGGAGTTTCTACTGTTTAATTTGGGGCTCTAGGCAGTTACCTACACCAGGCTTGTGGGCACTAGGATGAATAGTATAAAAGCCCAGAAGCCCTGAGATTGTGATCCTGGGGGCACCTTTCAGGGGACTAGAAAGGAACAGAAACCTGGGGCTTGGGTTTTTAACCCAAGCCTGCAGTTGCTCCTGCCCTAGGTTGGGGGATAGAGCTTGCATCCCCTCTGTACCCCCAAGCTCTGACCTCTTCTATGATTAATGAGCTGACGATTCTGCATCAATAAGGAATTAACCTAGAGCCCCTACCCATCAATAGCCAGGAGCCCAGATCTCTAGCCCCACCCCCACTCATGCTGGAATGCTCCAGGGCCCCTAAGCAGACCAACACTGTATGGCTCTACACACACCTACATCTAAGTCCTCTCCCCAATACTGCTGCCTAGAATTAACCCCTGAACTGCCTCAGTCCAACCCCTACTATCAACTCCCTATCCCCCATACATATACACAGGCAACAGCTGTTTATATTGGTTTAATCCATGTCAAATGTAGTTTACAAAGGGAAAGGACAAGTACCTTTGTATAGAATATACAGACACAGCATCACACCATGGGGCCCACAGGAGGGGCAAGGAGACAACTTTTCCCTGGGAACAGCATCTCTACTCCCAGGAATGGTTCTTAGCAGAAGGCTGTGCAGCCAGGGGCGCCTTCAGTCAGCCCTGACCTCAGCTTCTGCTTCAGCTCGGGACCTACTTCCTGCCCCACCCTCAACTCCTTATGAAGAGCCCTATGAGCTAAGACTAAGGAGAGGGTCATGTCCCTCAGGGCATGTACCCCATGTCTGGGAGAAGAAATATACACCACTGAACACCGAGCACATGGGAGAGGGAAGGGACGCCACGGGAGAGGGAGAAGCAGGTACCCTAAGAGGTGGTTGGGCCGAGCCCCCAGCCAGACCTGAAGGAGGCACTGCTTCCAGAGTTCTTAAAAAAAAACAGAAGAAAATCATACAACCAAAGGTGAGGGCATGGAGGGCAAAGGAGTTGTCCCATTTATACACAACATTGTAAACATACATGGTCTATATTACATGTGCTTCAGTCTGGTGTTTGCATGTCTGTCTGTCCATCTGGGAGCTGTATCTCAGGAGCCTTGCCCCTCTACTCCCCACCCCTACCTCCCTGCTCCACCCTGGGAACAGAGGCCCGGATGGGTATGGTTCTCAGGCTTGGTGGGAGCCAGCAGGCAAGGCCTGGGCCTCAGCCTCCACTCTGGCTCCAGAGTCCTGTGTGTGTGTATGCTTGTGTGCGCGCATGTGAATGTATGTACACGGGGAACCTGTGTGCAAGTATGTACAAGGGGAGAGGGTCACTGTCACAGAGGCTGGGGGCAGATGAGGCTGCTCGAGGCAAGGCCTGCTGGGTGGCTAGCTCACAAGTAGATCCTCCGAAGGTCTCCAGGCGCTGTGATGGTGTTGCACTGAGGGCAGAGCTTCTTGGCACCCTGCAGGGGGAAGAGGGCTATGATCAGACACGTGCCACATTTATCCACGTGAGCACTTGGGCCTACAGCCACGTCTCTCTGCACTAGTGTGTGCTGGGATTCTGGTTGTGTCAGCCAGGCTGGGGATGCATGGGCGGCCTCTGAGCAGGCAGGCACGCTCCTGTGTTGGGGGGACGCCAGGATCAAACCGCCTGGCCAGCCCCGCAGCGGGAGCCCCGGTAATGAGAACAAGGCTGGGTCCAGCTGTGGCTGCCGCGGCCCTAACAAGATTACATGCGGCCTTTGATCAGGACACAGAGCCCACGTCCGGGCCTTTTATTGCTGTCTCCGGGCGACATTTTAATGGCTGCTCCTGAGCGAAGAACAGGGCCAGGAGCAGAAGGAGCTTAGTAATGGGAGGGGGAGGGGCTGAGGCCCTGGTCCTGCTTACCCACCACAAGCTTACTCCTGACCTGGGGTCTCACCAATATGTGTGATGTGGTGGGCCTTCTAGGGGCGTGGGTGGTGGAAAAGAGAATGTAGTGAGCCCATGGAGGGGAGAATTTAATAAACCTGAGGTGGGGGGCAGAGAATACAGTGATTTTGCGGGTGGAGGGTACGGTAGATATGCTGGCCCTGGCTCTGTTCTATGCTCCTGTTCTTCCTTATCCCTCACTGCCCACCTCCCCTAAGCAGGTACAAGCAAAGGCATGAACACCCGGGAAGTGCCCCCCCCAAACAGCACCCCACTCCCCAACTTCCACACCACCTCACCAGGGTCCGCAGCCAGCATTCCTCGCAGTGCACATGCCAACACTGGATTGACGTTAGGGGCATTGAATATGAGTCCTAGGGAAAAGGTGGGCAGAGAAGGAATCACTGAGGCAGGAACACCCTTCAAAGAGCCTAGATCATAGTTGCAGTGACCCTTTCCAACACTCCAGAGCACTAAAGCCTGACCAAGGGCACCCCAAATTCCCTCTTACTTACCATGCAGATGAGGCATTTGTATCGGTCCCCCCGAGATAGCTGCCGTTCAAGCTCCCTAACCCGAGCCTTCAGGGCCTCAAATGTGGTCACAGCTGAATCTTCAGTGATTCTATAAAGAAGATGTATAGTTGGGTAGTAGGCTGATATCCCCAATCTGAACCTCCAGCCTGCACCTCCCTTAATCCGGAACCACATGTGTTTCCTAGACATCCCACATGCTCTTTCTCCAATGCCCCATAGCTGCAAACCCCACTTCAAAACTAAACCCACTCTTTGTTCCTCCATCTCCACTTGACGAATTTCCGAACCAGATACCTGAGAACCATTCTCAATCATTCTGAGTCATTTTCAACTTCAAAAATCTCTCACTTCTCTCCTAATACCTCTGGAATCACTCCCTTCCTTCCACCCTTACCATTTCTGGTTGGGCCTCCTGGACTACTCTATCGATAACTCCACTAACCTGAGCAGCAAATAACTTCCCCGCTCTAGTCCTTTATCTCCATACCATCCTTCCAGCACCTAGAACTTACATAGTGAAAGCAAATCTGACCATTTTTACTCCAACATTTCAATGTCTCTCAGACTAAAGCTCTAAAACATTTCTTCTCACTCTGGCCCTATCAGCCTGTACTCCTCATCACCCTGCCTATCCACACAAACTGGGCAGTGTCTCCAAGTGTACCACCCTTTCCCAGTCTCTTGGCCTCTTTGCACTTTGTTTCCTCTGGGTCCTCCCAACCCCCTCGCCCAAACTCACCGTTCTGCTTCATCATCATCAGTACCACTACTGGGGAATTTTGGGGCATCCTTTATCCAACTCGACCCCAACAGTCTAACTGCAAAGATCTTTGTGTCCTCCACTAGACTGAGTTCCCTGAGGGCAGGCTGCTCACTTGGCCAGTATTTACTCTGGACATAAGCCCCACTTCTGGCATCTGAGCATGAGTAAACATTTGCAAAATGAAGAGCTAGTCCAACCTCTAGGGAAAGAGAGATGTGGGGCTGGACAGATCCCATATAATCTAGGTCCCTTTGCCATAAGCCTGGCTTCCCTCGAGGGCTCCTTGTTATTTCTTCCTAGGCTCCATTTGATACTCTGGTAAGCCTCAGCCTGTTGTCCAAGCCCTGTACCACAAGGTCCCTATGACTTTTCCAAGACCGGTCATACTGCGGAACAGGGAATAGTTAGGACTCTTCAAGGATCTCTCCTGCCCCTCCTAAAACACTAGTGAATAGGGCTACTCACAGAGGGAGAAAAATACCTGCTGGAAGAGTAGAAAAACTGTACTGGGGATGGCCTTAGGGAATAAGTATGATGATAATACAAAGAAAATAGCTAAAATTTATTAATCACTTACTAAATGCCAGGGATTATACTGAGGAACTATAATTATTATCCTATTTACACCTCATAAAAACCTTGTGAGAAGGTTCTAATATTCCCATTTCTATACATGAAGAAACTAAAGCACTGAAAAATTAAATAGCAACCCATTGTTCACAAAGATTCCAAGGTGGCAGACTGATCCTGTGGTCAACTGTGTGACTGACTATTACTCTATACTGGTTTATAAGGAGATGGATCTCCAGGCTAAGGGAACAGTAGAAATAAAGACCAAGAGGCCCAAGAGTTCAGTTGGGCTGGAAGGCTCACTTGTAGGTAGGCAAAAGTTGCTAAAGTGACAGAGCACACTTGTCTGGCAACTCAATTCCACAGTCAGAAACTGAACTATCTCATGGGTGATGGGAATTGTGAGGATATTAGAAGAAGGGTGTGATAAAACAGCTAAGGTTCCATAGGCATTTAATAAGAATGGGAAAAGTAGGACTGAACAGGGTAGGGAGGCCACAGGTAGAAACACAGTGAGGTGTGGCGTGAGCATGGACAATATCCTGGGGGTGCCTGTTCTGCCAGCTTGGGCGAGACAATGGTCCAGAAAGCTTGAAGTGGCTTATTACTGTTAGATACAAGTAGTCCTGGGGGATGTAAGAAGGGTAGTGGTAACATTTGATGGGCAACAACAAACTTCAATCTCTGACTTTTTTCTTTTAGGGTGCTAGAAGCAACACAGAATATAACTCCCTAGTGGTCTGTGTTCCTGCACTGGGAGTGCTCTAGATCCACCAGCTCATGGATCCATGATTCTTTAGGCCTTGCTTCTCCAGGGATGCTGGGAAAGGCTGTCTCCAGCATACTGATTCCCACTCAGTCTCCTGGCTCTGGAAAGTCTTCACCCCACCCTCACAAGTACCTGCATAGCTGGCTCTTCCCTGGCATTCTGCCTGATGCCATATGTACCATCTCCATCTCGATTGCTGCTAATAAACTCCTGATAAGGATGGGGAGTTATGCTCCCTTCTCCTCCAAGACCCATGCTAGGAATTTCAAAGATGGGAAACAAATGCCTAAGAACTCCAAGGCCACATCATAGGCCAAGATACAGCTCCAAAGCCCACCTGTCCTAGATTTGCTCAGCACACACCTGGCCTCTAATCTTTGCTCTGGTGAAATACCCAGTCCTCCAGCCCCGGACCCAGCTTGGTTGTGAGCTATTCTTGAACCCCTCCAGGACATGAGGAGGTCAGATTCCCAGAGGAAGCCATAGCATCCTGCCTTTCCCCTTCCCTGGAACATGAAACAGATCTAGGGCAGGATTCCATACTTTGTGGATGAGGAAGACAGAAGTCATGGGGACGGAAGGGCTCCAATCTTGGCTAATCCAGACCTCCTGGTGATCTCTGCACAGGAGCAAGCCAATCCCCAACTCATCCCAAGAGCCCTACCTACTGGAGCCTGTGCTCACACAGGTGGGACTTCCCCCAGCCTTGGGTGGGTAGCACCTTCATGGATGGCCACTGGCTCTGGCCCCCCATCTCCCCCTCAAGCGCCATCCCTGATTAATGATCTTGTCTTTCTGATTTATGAGCAGCCCCTCCAGACGAGGGTGGGTGCCCCTTACAGCCCCGCCCGCCCCGCTCAGCTGGAGTAGGAGAGAATTATTAAATAAACATCCATACGTCATTCCTCCCCCCCAAAGCTGGTTGCGCCGAACCTGTACGGCCCGCTCCGGCGCTGACACGGAGCAGCTGCAGTGATTCATGGGCAGCCGGGCCCTGCGCTGCGGCCCATACATCATGCCAGCAGCACTCGCGGCCCCGGCCGAGATAAACTGATCAACCACAACGGGCTGGAATGAATTTATGACAACACAAAATGGAGGGAAACAAATGGGAGGTGACCCTGGGCCACCGACCCAGCCCTGCACCGGCCTGCAATCCACTCTCCTGGCAGGAGGCAAGATGGAACACTGGTCCTAGAATGAAGAGGCTGCCTTTTAACCCCAGGGAACCTACCCTGCAACTGGAGGGAGTGGGGTGGGTGCAGGGAGATAAGCAACGGCCAATGGCTGCAGCTCTAGGCAGCCCATACTGGACAATACCACCTCCTAGGGCCAGAACTGGTCTTGCTTGGGCTTCTGGAAAGGCAGTGAGATGCCCAGCTGATATCAAATCCTTGTGGCTCCCAGGGATAGAGGCCAGAGAGGCTGCCTGGCCCTAGGTAATGTACTAATGGATCTCTTTTTCCCCTGCTAGAAAATCCTGGCCAAAAATTCCTACCAGAAGTGATGAGACCCAATGTTCCTGCCTAAAACCCACTGCGAGCGCCACCCGGGACAAGAAAAATGAAACCAATTTAGCTCCCGATTAAGAAACAGAAACTGGAGATGAATCAAGTGCGCCGGCTAGGCTGGGCGGCCATACATCACATTCCCGGGCGGAGGCCGGCGCAGCGGGCAGGCAAGCAGGCGGACTGTACCTCCCTCCACCAAGGCTCCCAGGGCTGTGGCCCAGCGATCAATTCACAGAGTCACGCTTAGCACCAGCTGGGCTCCAATGCCAGCCGTGCGCCCAGGGCAGCAGGACTCAGCTACACTTGGGAAGGCCAGAAGCCCTGGCAGCAGCCTTCCTTCCAGCAACCCCCGCCACCCTGCTCCTGCACAGCCGCACTCACTTTTCGATGTCACTGTTCTTGCACGTCTTCTGCATGGCCTCCTGCTTGCTGCTTTCACCATTGCTGGTGGATGGCATCTCTGCAGGGACACAGGGACAACTCATACTTTGGACAGAATGGATAGCACAGGTGAGGGCTTGGGCTTGAGTCAGTCACCACTATCTAGGAATCCCTCTCACACTCATTACTGCTAACCTGGGTCAGGACTTACCATCACTGGCCCATTTAGAGAACTCAGGTGTGATGCGGGTGCTGGGAGGGCCACCACTAGAGAAGAAGAAAAAAGAACACAGTGAGGCCTGAAGGAATACAGACAACCCTGCAGGTGGGTACTGGGTTGAGCCCTGCCTCGGGCTTTCTATCCCACCACCCCATCATGCTACGCCTGTGCCCACACTTGCTTTAGGACTGCGCCCCGGAGTGCCTCTCTCTCCTTGGCTTCACCAGGTTCCTCGCCTGTGCAAGGGATGACGTCAGCCTCCGTGTATCTGGCATGGTGGTCAAGGACAATGGATCCTAGTTTTGTTGTAAGCCACGAGGGCAAAATGCTCAGGATTCCCAGCAGCCAAAGTTGAGCCTCTGACCCTGGAGGTGGTGTGGGCAAGTACCAGAGGTACTAGCTACTTTTCCTATTCCCAACGGCCTTCTGTGCCAGCCCCACCTTGCCCATAGAGACCCAAGGATACTGTGGCTTCCCATACTCCAGAGTGTCATCCCCATCCACATCCAAGTCAGCATCACTGTCCGGGTTCTCTTTGCCGCTGCACATGACGAAGCCAGAGCCTGTGGGAAGCAGGGTATGAGGAGGACCATGGACCAAAAAGACTAGGCCAAGTGTGCTTTATATGCTGCCTCTAAGTAGGAATCAGGTAGGAGGGCGAGATGAGGCACAAATAGAAACTTGGGCTTAGGATATATTGAATCAGATACTTAAGTGCTCCTGACTGATATTTCAGTCCTTTTACAATGCATATCTCTTTCTCTCTGTGGTCTCTGTTCATAAATTGGCCCATTCATATGCTATGTCAAGTCCTCAGGCAACACCCTGCCCTAGGCTTGCTATCCATCTGCCTTCCAGTTCCAGGAAGAGCAAAAAGAAAGTAGGGAAATCCAAGTGCAAAAGGTCGGCCCAGCCCCAACCAGGACCTGGGATTCCTTATGTCCCACTGTCCAGTCTGACAAGTCCATCAAAGAGAACAGGCTGATTAAGGCCAATCAGAGCCATAGAGCGGGACCCCCAGCCAACATCCTGATTTTGGCCGCTAGGTCCTTGCCAGCAAAAACTCCAGGCAGCTGTTCAAATATTTGGTGTCTGAAGCGCCTGACATTAATTATTCATCTCTACCTCACGCAGCCCAGATTCCTGGACAAGTGTAGTTATAAAGGGATTAGGAATGGACAGACAAGGGAGAACAGGCATGCACACCTGCCTCTCAAAGCAGTCTATGAAGGCAACCAGACTCGGCTGGGGCAGGCCAAGGGCCAGGCTGAACCCTAAGCGGCTGACCACTTGAGGTTCATTTGACAAAGCCACAGGCAGACTCTTGGCTAATGGGGAAGGGTGAGTTAATGAGACCATACCAAGCCAGCTCACCTGCTGGATGGTGTCCGACTCCCAGAACCACCCTTCTTGAAAGCCCACGGTCAGGGACCATAGAGCTGCCCTCCAGCCATTGCCCTACTTCTCTATGGGTCTCAGACCATAGCTACTAGCCAGCATGGCAGCTCTGCCAGGGATGGCGGGGGGGGGGGGGGGGGGGGGGGCTCTGTGGTTAGTAGGATCTGTAAATAAATCTTTAAAGAAGCAAGGAAGCATTTAGAACTCTGCCCAAATGTCTTGTCCATTCTTAGGTGCCTACACTCTCATCAGAGAAATAGGTAATAGTCCTGTAATAGGTCCTTAAGCCTCTTGTGTATTCCTTCATCCTGCCTACCTTTTAGTTTTAATCCTTTGTTTTCCTTATCCAAAACCATGTATGACTCAGTCAAGTTCAGACTCTTCAATTAAATCTGTGAAGATCTATATGCATCTATTTCTCTACACTCACTCTTTTTTCATTTCACTCCAGAAGCCCTGTGCACATGGACATGGAGCCTGCTTGCTGTGTTCCAGCCATACATTGAGACCTTTGTTTATGCTATTTACTCCATCTGGAATGTTCTCCTTCTACCAAGCCCTGAAAAGCACTTTCTTCCTGATCCTCCTCCAGTCTGTTCTCAAAGATTCTATTCATCCCAGAGGTAAGCAGCACCAGAGAAAGAAAGAAAGAGGCTGGGCATTCCCTAGGCTCCACCCTCACTGACAGTCCTCATTTGCCCTCGACCTGGAGGCCCTGACACACTTGAACAGCAGGCAGGTCAGCAGCAGGGCCATTAAGCTGAGAAAACACCAAGTTACAGCTCTGTCTCCTGTTCAGGGCCAGGTGTCCTGACAAGCAATTCCCTCCTTGTGGGTGAGTGGCACCTCTATAAACCCTCTGACAGTTTGGGAGACAAACTCCGCCATCAATCAGAATGTAGCTATCAGGTTCACTTATAGCCTGTGCCCCCCGAGTCCTGCCAACCCCCCTCTTCCAAGTACACGCAGCTCAGCAGCCAGCCTCACATCCTCTGCTCAGTCTCTCCCTGCCTTGTGGGTGGGCAAAAAAGCAGAGAACCCTGGCACTACTCCCAAGCCCACTATGGCTCCCTTGGCAAATCAGGAAAGACAGGGTGCCATACCTGTCAGAAGTCCCAGCATATAAAGCAGTCCTGTGGCTTGAAGTCCTTTCCTCTGTAGTATAACTGCCTGCCCTGCTTAGACTAGGACCCATCCTCCATGGGAACAGAGATACTGTGGTCTCCCAAATCCTATATGCTTTATGCTTCATGTCTGGGTACTTCCTATCCCATGTAACTATAACTTTCTTCCTACGGGTCTACAAAACAAATACCTACTCGGCTGGCAAGTCTGACTTAGCTCAACCTTCTATCATTGACTGGTAGTGCCTACAAAGAGTAGGTGCAGAAGGAAGGACTTTCCACCTCTAATATTCTTTCAATCTTTATGGAGCACATACTGTCTGGCTCAGTGTGGAGAATACACAAGATATGGCTCCCCAACCTCCAGGTACTCAGTGGGGGATGTGACTTGCTCAAGTACTTATACACCTTACACGAATGTGTCCCTTCCTTGCTGTCCACCCAAACTACTGCGTTACTCACCTTTATTACCATGTATTGTCATTCTCCCTCCTCAGACCAAAAAGTGCAAGGGTCTCAAGTGTGACTCACTGCTGTGATCTCTGCGTTGTCCAGCAGGGCTGGCTAGGCCCAGAGCAGGTGCCATATAACATACCAGAGCAGTACTGGCAACACTGCTCTATGAGGCACTGGGGCCCTGTGCCAGAAGTAAGGCTGGGCCTAGAAAAACCTTATGACACAGCCTTCCCTATTCTACTGCAGCTCCCAGCCAGGTGGCAACCTTCTGTTCCTCTGACCAGTGAGACAGGAGGGAAAGTGTGACATCTTATTTGCCAAGGAAAAGGCCTCTCTGCCTTTGGTCTGAGTAGTCTTCTCTGACCCTTACCCCATGCCCCAGCTGAGACAGATGTTGAGAACCTCTCCCTACCCCCACAGGTGTTCAGAACAGGCTGCCACTGCCAATTTCACTCTGGTGTTGCCCTAGCCTGCTCCAACCTCCTTCCCAGCACATTAAACTTTATTTTCTTAATGAAATGTCACTTGCTGACTTCTGGCAGAATCATAATAAAAAGAAACGGCCATAAAGCCGTTTTATGCAGACAGCACCCCCGCCAGTTTACCCCCTCCTGCTTAGAGAGGAAGGCTCCACGGTCGTTTTATGTTCTCAGCTGCTGGAATATCCCAAGCCAGTACTCAGAGGCAAGATGGCACAGATAGCTCCTTTCCAAGTCTCTGGCTCCTCTTCCCTGAAGCTCAGGGAATACTAGGCAAGCTGCCACTTTTTTTTTTTTTTTTTAGTACCAGGGATTGAACCCAGGAATGCTCAACACCACTGAGCCACATCCCCAGCCCTTTTCATATTTTATTTTGAGACAGGGTCTCGCTAAGTTGTTGAGGCTGGCTTTGAACTTGTGATCCTCCTGCCTCAGCTTCCTGAGCTGCTGGCATGAGGCATGTGCCACTGGCGCAAGTTGCTCCTTCTGGTGCTGCTTTCCAGGGAAGGAACTTGGTCCCTAGGACTTCTAAGATGACTCAGAGTATCCCTCAGTCACTAGGAGGGGCCCCTTACTAGGGTTCTACCCCACCTGAAAGCAGCAAAAAAAGGCTAGAAAGCAAACTAAGTCTGATGGTGAGCAATGCCCAGTAGAGTGGGAGCCAGGCTTGCCCGGTCCTGGGCAGCTGGGCAGTACAAAAACCCCTCTTCTTCCCAGTGAACACTCAGCAATACAGAGGGAGAGGGTTAAGTGCAAACTGATATATAAGTCTAAATTTTATAAAAACAACCCTTTTCCCATAAACTCATTTCTTCCTGGGTCATTGAGAAGGGAGAGAAAAAAAAAAATCAGTGTTAATTTAATCAATTGATCAAATGATCGATTGAGAAACTGGAGATGCCTGTTTACTGGGGGTAGTTATGTCCTGAAACCTGAAACCACAAAAAAGGAGCCATCGATTTCCTCACCTGCTACTCTCAACCAAACCAGAACCCAGAGAGAAAGAAGTCTGGGGGTCCTCTAGAGCCTAATATTCACATAAGGGGAGGGCAGGGACAACGCTTCCGGGGAGTTTTACACTGGAATTAGTTACAGATGCAGTTACGGTGTCTTGTGTAAACGCCATCGATTGGGGAGCTGACAGTCTGGGGAGCTGCGATGTGGGACAATCAATCGGCCTGCAGTGTCACCTGCCACCTCGCTGAACAGTTGACAATGCAATTATCCAGTGTGGAGGCAGGGAGTTGGCGTGTGTCAAACGCACTTAGCCACTTTCCGGGCCTCCTCGATAACGCGTTTCACTGCCTCATGTCAGGAAAGACGCTCAGAGACAGACGCCGTTTAAAACCATTGATACTTGCTCCTTCTGCCTGGATTCCCTCTGTCCCAGCTTAACAATTGTGTTCCAAAAGGCGATTAAATCCCATCCATAGCCACAGGGGACAGAAAGTGCCTTGCTCCTTGCCACCTCTCCTAACCCCTCCCAACAGGCGACAGTCATAACTAAAGGTGGTGGGGAGTTAGAAGCCTCTCTGCATTTCCAGCCAGCCTCCAGTTGTGTGCTGTTCCAACACCTGCCAGTGACTACACCAAGCAGAACAGCTGTAGTTGGAGACATTTTTAGTATTCAAGACCCATTTGCCTGTGCCCTTGGATTCACAACACCTCTCAGCCCTTTGTCCCATATCTGATGCTGAAGTTTTAGTAACAAATGGTTGAAAGAACTGCACCAAAGCTACCTTGCCTGTAGTTCTCTCTCTTGATTTCTCATTCCAGGTTGCCTGAAACCAGTCTAAATCTAAGACAGGAACCCAAGAAAAATGTAAGCTATAACCAGAATCTGGCAGGGCAGAAACGATGCATATCAAAATGTTTTATTCCCTCTCCCTACTCCACCTGTTTGATTCAAATGAGCTTCCTGCTCAATGCTTTCACCTAGGGCTCAATGACACAGCTGGAGACACCTTCCATTTCTTGTGTAGCCTCCTGGGAAATTCCTCCATCCCAACACTCTTATTTGAAACCAATCATTCCCATGTCCTTTCTTTTGCCTGTCTCTTCCAGATGAGAGGGACTATAGGTTCCCCAAATCCAAACAGGTGAACTCACTGGCAACTCACTCACTACCACCATAGGTCTCTTCTCTAGGACCTAATAGTAGCTGGAGTTAGGAAACAAGAAGAAAGGTGTACCATGACTAATCTGTCACATACCTCTTTTGACTAAAGGTAAGGGCAGGTTTGTCTGTGGGGCTATATAATTAGCTTATTTTCTACGGTTTGCATCTCTGGCATAGAAGGCCCCTGTTTTGCACAGGTTTTGTAGGGTACCCCAGAAAAGCATCTTTTTCTAACTACTTATCTTTTATAGGAAAAGCATTGAGCTTTGTGTGTGGCTCTCTATAAAAACAGCACCAGCAGGTTTGAAAACCTCAGGCTCTAAGACAGCAAGCAGCAGCTGAGCAGTCTGAGGACCTCCTCTAGAACTGCAAAGATTAGAGTATTTCCTAGATACCAAAAATTTCTTCTGACTTACTCTCTTGAAGTTTTTACCTATTTTCTTGGGTCTTTTAAACATCTGTTTCCAGCTGGGCCTATGTTGATGCTCTTCTATTCTGTCTGGTCCTTCATTCTCTCCTAAAATACCAATTTCAAGCACTCCCAGGCCTCAAACATCTGGGCTTTCCCCTTAGAAACCCAAGGGGTCCCATCCTGAAGACCATTCCCTCTAGAAAGCATTTCCTTCAAAACTCTTGCTTGACTGCTGCCTCCCACAGATGATTTCACTCAAGGTAACTGATCTGACCCATCAGCCCAATTACTGGTGGGCCTGGTGGGAAGGTTTGCTGAGAATGACGAGGAAGCCCTAGTCTGGGAGGAGGGATAGGGGATGATCGGATACGGAAACTTATCTGCAATTCTTCAATTCTTTCATATCTAACAAGGACAGCAATCTCTGTTCTGTCAGCACGCACAGCATAGCTTAAATGGGCCTCGCTGCTCGCCTGCTCATCCTGCCTCTGCCTCCCTCTCTCTGAAGTCGGCTGGGCAGCTTCTTCAGCTGGCGTTATCACTCCCTCTAACCGGTCTTGGCAGGCAATCTAATTCCTCCTGAAAAGGTCACCGCCATTTTAACTGCCTTTCAATCACATTAAGCACGCGCTGCCCGGCTTGCGGCCCAGCCCGCCCGGCGGGCGATCAATGTGCTGCACTGACACCAGCCAGCCTGGCGGGGCCACACCCAACCCCCCAAGAATTGGGCCTATTGGTTCTGGCCAGGAAGGGCAGGCTGACAGATGGCCAGCTTTTGCAGACAGGGTTCAGGAGCAGAGGCAGTCAGATCAGCCAGGGCCTCCCTTTGATAGCTCCCCCCACTGAGGAGGCCCAGCCTCCTCCGCTCTGCTCTCTCTGCCTCATGGCCCCCGTTGATCTCGCTGTAAAACAGCCTTTCAAGTCGGCCTGTCTTTTGACTGCACTAAGCTGTTTAAGAGGCAGCAGCAGCTTCTATCAGGAAAGCTGGAGCAATTCTCTGCAGATAAAGGCACCTCCGGCCGTTCCCTCTTCAAGTCTCACTCTCATTCTCGCTCTCCAAATCGCTCAAAGAAAAGCCCCCTTTGAACTCTCCTCAGGAATTCTTGAAAGAAACAACCTCGCAGTGTAAACACTTAGGGAAAACTGATACCCACCCAGGGCCTGAGAGCCCCTCACACTGCTTGGCAAGTATGTCCCAGCACCAGGGAAAGACTTCACAGAAACAGCAAGCCCTGTGCAGCTTTACCCCCCGCAAACCCTGAGTGCCCAGGAGCCATCAGGTCCAGTTTTGTGCCAAGAAACCTAAGAAGCTGCCACAGCAATGGAAGATATGAATAGTTACAGCTGCCAACAAAGCTAACCCAGAGCATTCTGGAACTGACTCTGTACAGACTGCCACCACACACCTGTCTGCACAATTTCTGGGCTCATGGGCTCTGCTATACATTTTTTTCAGGGCCTGAGACACACCAGAGATCCAGCATAAGACCAGAATGCAATGGCAACTACTGCAAACAGCTCAAGCTCAGGGAAATAGTTTGGTCTAACCCTCCTGATTTATGTTTTGGCTTGTCTCAGACACGTGGATAATGTAAGAGAAGCCCACAGGCATAATGTCCCATCTGGGCTCTCAGCCTCTTCACACAGCCAGTCTATGATGCATGGCACTGGAGGTTTCTTAGCATGAGCCCAGGTAGCATGGCCCCAAGGAGGCAAGACCTTCTTCCCAGATGCTGTGAGATTCCCTATGGACCATATGCAGTAGTACTCCCAAGGATGTTTCCAGAAAATGGGAAGCAGACGGGAAGCAGACTGGCTCCTTTATGATCACAAGCTGCAATGCCAGCTGTGCTTGTGCACAGAAAGAGAGAAGAGCTGGAGGCCAGGAGGCAGGCAGCTCCCTTTTTCCCCTGCCCAAGATGGGAGTTTGACAAGGACAATGACTTTGGCCACCCCACCAATTCTGCTGTCTGAACTGATATTCGGGGGTCCTACAAGTCATGTCCCTCCAAGTAGTTAGGAGGACATGGAGATGGGTAGGGCCCTGCAGACTCCTCTGCAGCAACTGGGGAGAGCCCAAGGGAAACAGGGAGCAGCTGGGCCCAGGCCCCTCTTGCTTCAGGGCAGAGGGCGCCCAGGGAGAAGGGATAGGATCAGAGTTAAAATTAGATTCACCAATGAAGCTCATGGGAGGTCAAATTTTGCCATAACTCACTCTCTGCTCTGTAACCGATTTCCCTGACACAGGGCTGAGGAGGAGGAGGAAAATCCAATGTGTTTGCCTGGAAGCCCTCAGGGCCCCCAGTGCTGGAGGTGTACAGCAGGTTGCTGGATTCTCATTTATCAGCCTTAAGAGGGATGGAGTGATAAATGCATAACCGTCCCTTTAATATTTTATGCAGGTGCTAACGCGGCTTGGCTGTCACCTTCAATGCATCACCCAAGGCTGAGAGCCCCCCTCGTCACTCCTAGCTTGCAGTCTCACAATTCCATTTCCTCACCCAAATACATCCATTTTAATATGCACATCACAGGCAAGCAGCACGGTCACAAAGGAGCCCCGCCAGAAGCAGTTCCCACGTGGTGGAATGGATGACCAGCCACCAGCCCTGGCCTTGCAATTCCCAACAGATGGATACCCAGCAGAGGCCTGTCTACCAGTGTCAATGCCTATGTGTCAGCTGCTTGTACCTCGGAAGCCACCTTCCAGGAGAGTGGTGGCCCGTATCCGCTTCTGCCCACACCACTCATACTCCTCAAAGCGGTTGCTGTTTTCATGCTCGATGTCCACGGCATCATCCTCAGCCATGCAGGAGCCTTCCCTCTGTGAAGAGCAGAGCAGGATCATGCAGGGTCCAAGCCATCCCCACCTGCTCCCCAGGGCTTGCAAGGAAGGCACAGCCCAAGCCCCTGCTTATATACCATATAGGCCCCAGCTCTAGGGCTCCTCTGAAGTAAAACCAATTTAGAGGTCAAAGACCTGGACCTCTTCCCAATAACTTTCCATGGGAGCCCAAGTGGGGAGTGAGAAAGAGTGAAAGCAAAGGGAAAGAGCAAATGAAAGGGAAAAGCTGCTAAGATCACATGAAGACCCCAAGAGCCCACAGATTTGGGGGCAGTCAGCAGCTAGTGTCAAGGGAAGGGAGGGGAGAATGAAGGTGGGTGGTGACGGTCCCTCTACCTTAGAAAGGCAATGCTCCACATGCCTACTCATCTCCTGTTCCGATCCTGCCAGGGGGCGGTTGCACAGGGGACATACCTGCCCTTCATCTTGCTTCCTCCGTTTCATTTTCCCAATCCGAGCTGCATGGAGAAATCAGAAACAGGGCACAGAATAAGCAATCACTATAACTAGAGTCCCAGTGGAGCTAACACATTCTGACCTGCTGTCAGCCATTAGCCCTTTTGTTCAGTGCCTGATCTGGCCCTCATTTTACAATGCTTCCTCCTGCTCCTTTGGGGAAGAGAACTTGCCAAGAGCACCAGGGAGGAGATGGGTGCTAGGCCAGGAAGTGTCCACTCTTTGGCTATAGTTGGCTCAAGCTCAACGGATACCTTTCTATCTGCTATCTTCAATGAGTCCAATGGGCAAAGACACTCCAATTATTGCTAGATATCTCTTCAGAAAGTCAAGACCATAGGCTCTTTGGTGTCAGGAAATACAACTTTAGAGAACATTTCTTGGTTAGAACTCAAGGTCACCCCAGGGGCCAGATTTGGCATACTGTTTTCTCATCAATTAAATTACCCTTTTATTCCAGAGCTAAGAGCCCTGAAGTACAATCCCTGGAGTCCTACCTAGAATTATCCTAGGAGGAATTGGAATTTCTCTGATATCCACTGGTCCCATTTTATAGGAAAGGAAACTGAGGCCCAGTTATAAATAGAGTATCTGGGTCAGACCATGGATGGCCAGGTCAGGGTACCCAAGATACCTTGAAATGGAAACCCTTGATGTGCCTACCCCAAACCTGTTCCATCATTTCTAATCAGTACAGAGGGGCTAGCAGGCCCCAGAGACAGAGGACCGCCTGCCATGCTATCCCGCAGGGGGCTCAGTTCCAAAGTGCACACTGCAAGCCCACAGCACTGCTAATTAATGCTGAGAGATGCAATCATTTCTAATTAGCTCACTAATCCCTCTCTGCAGTCCTCCTGTCACTGAAGCAGGGAGGGGTCAAAACAAGGGATTCTGTTCTCTCTAGTCCCTCCTAGGATACAATAGAAGGATCAGAGATGACCACTATAATACCAGACACTGAAAGGAGAGAAGGAGAGGTGCCTGCCAAGGAGAGGAAGATTCTCCACTGCAGAGCCAGGAAGAACAACTTACATACTATTTTGCTTTCTTTTTTTTTTTTTTTGTAGTACAAGGCATTAAATCAGATGCACTACCACTGAGCTACATCCCCAGCCCTTTTTTTATTTTGAGACAGGTCTCACTAAGTTGTTAGAGTTGGTTTCAAACTTGTGATCCTCCTGCCTCAGTCTCCCGAGTTGCTTGGATTACAAACATGTACCATCATACCAGGCCAGGAAGAACTTTCTTATGTATGCTGACTCTGATGGGAAGCTTATGAATGCAATAAAGGAAGGAACACAGATGACAGTTATGTTGTAAATCAGAACTTCTACTCTTAAGTCAGGCTCAATGTCAGGCACCTTCACAATGAGGCTCATCTACATCTATAATGAAGCTAAGGTTGTCTTCCCCAAAGCGCTTAGTGATCAATGTGCTTGCCCAAGAGGCTGACATGTGGCAAAGGTAACATAAGAAACCAGGCCTGACTCGGTGGTTGGAATGCTCTCCTGCCCCAATGGTTCCCCATACTTAGCAATATCAACAAAATTGATCCCAGAGAGTGTGCTAGGCTCCAACTCCTGCCCGTTGAAGGTTTAAGGAGAAAGCTTCTTCAACTGCAGAGCAGTACGACCCTAGATAAAGACCCAAACCAAAGGGAAAACCACTGGCCCACCAAACTGAGCATGGAGTTTGAGAAACCTTGGTCTATAGCCCAGCCCATCTCAATTACCTGTGTTTCCACTATAGAGATGTGACTATGTTCTGGGGCTCCTGGGACTTTGTGGACAAAAATCCAGATCACATTGCTTTGGCTTACTTAACTAGAATCTCAAATTCAGGCAACCTTGACATTCCATGGCTGGGATGGAGAAGGGATGTAATACATCAGAAAGGCATTGAGCAAAGGCCCCCTGAGAATTCTAGAAGTCTAGCCTGAAGCAGTGTGCCAACACAAAAGATCCTCACCGTACAATGACTGAATAAAGAAATGAATCTCAGAACTACCAAAGAGGGCATGATACTGGATGCTCTCCTTGTCCAGGACACCCTAGGAGAGCAGATGATCCCTTATAGTCTCAGAAAGCTATGACAATGTACTGGGCTTCTTTTTAAAATCCTCAGGTAAGCAAGGCAGACTTGGTTTTCCCCTGCTATTCATCTTCTAAGACCTGAACTAACTTACCACAGTGTTGTACAGAGTCTTGTTCTCTACATGAGGCTACCTCTGAGTTAGAGGAGCCAAAGTATTTGCCAAGGAGTAACATGGTATGGTAGAAGCTCAGACTTTGGAGATAAACAAACTTCAGTTCCATAGTGGCTCAGTTACATCCCAGCCTGTGTGATTTTAAACAAATCACTTTCATGTCTCAGAGCCTCAGCTTCCTTATTTACCAAACGTGTGTAACATTTTCCTCTCAGAAGTGTTTTAAGAATGGTGCTTAACATGGTGCTAGCCCATAATGAATGCTCTCCCTTTTTCAGACAAGCAGAGCCTGGCAATAGCAAACAAGTGATAAGAGCTGGGGATCTTGAACGTCCATGGCCTCACTCACTCACTCCAGAGACCCTAAGCAGCTTATAGCCAACCCACATATACACCACACCCCAGTCAGCACAAAAAGCGAGGATCATTCAATTGTGTTCGCAAACAAGAATGCTCCAGAGATTTGAATCCAAAAGGGGGGCCGCCAGGTAGTGCATACATGGCCTGCTTTCAGAGAAGGCCTCTAAGAGCTGTCGAGCCCACGCTGATCACTTTTGTGAAATGTGGGCCGACTGATAACTCAAAGAGCCCTGGGATGAGTTAGTTCCTGTTGCCGTGGGAACTCCAGATCTCACTGCATTGTCAAGTCTCAGCAGAGAGGCTGTATTCACACTACTGGGCACTGATTAAAAACTGGAAGAAAAACATTCTCAGCGCCCTGCCGGCTTGTATAGTGAGGTCCCAGCAGTTTGCAAATTCAAAGCTGAGCTCCCGAGTGGAATTATGTAGCTTGTTCCTCATTCTCCGGCACTTATTGCCCCCCAGGGTTCTTCAGGGCCTTTAGAGAGAAATGGGCAAGAGCTGGGAACCATAACCTCCATTAGACGGAAGGGGAAACTGAGGGCGGCAGCGGTGGTTTGGAAATACTCATGCGCTGTGACTGTGAAGTGAGTGGGCCCCAAAGTGGAAGAGACCCAAGCAAGCCAGGAGCAGCGGGCAGTGAAGGAGGTGGCCGGGGGTGGGGCGGAGGGAGGGGCCGGCAGGACTCACCATTCAGTCGGGTCTGCCGGTTGGCTCGCACTCGCAGGAAGGTCTGGGAGAGGATCCCGGACAGATGCAAAAAAAAAAAAAAAAGGGGGGGACAGAGCGTCAGACACAACCTGGAGTCCTGGCCCCCGCCCCAGCCCCCGACCCCAGTCCAAGCCTGCCCCGCCCCAAACAACCCGTAAACAAACCTACTTCCTCCCTCCCGCCTGCCCCCCTGCTTCGCCGGCCGCTCCGGGCCCTCGGCATAGCCGCCGGGGCTGCTCTAACGGGACCCCGTGGCCGCCACGCGGTGCCGCCCCAGCCCCGGCGTCCGGTGCTCCGGGCCCCGCAGCCACCCGGCTGGCGAGGGCGGCGATGCGGGCGGATTCCCCCCGGCTGCCCGGCGGCGGCGGCACCTCAGCTCCCAGCAGCGGCGGCGGCCATGTTGGCCATGATCACGTGACCCTCCGCCGTCGCGCGCTGGGGGTGAAAGTTCACAATGGGGGGGCGGCCGGACTGGGACCAGGAAATAGCCGCTCAGAACTCTGGTAGCCACTAGCTGGGGCCGCCCGCGGGGTCCCTCCCACTGCCCCTAGAGCCTGCCAGCCCCAGCTTTAGTGCCTGCAAGGTCCTTGCCCCCGCCCCACGGCCCCTCCCAGTGCGGGGGTTCCTTCCTCCCCAGAGCCCGGCCCTGACTTGCTCCTCCCGCACGGCCTCCCTAGGGCATCCGCTCTAAAGAGGCGCGTTGCTGCGGAGGAGGCGTTGGAATTGATCGTCCGCTGGCCATCCCATCGCAAGCTCCCAACATTTTCCTACTTAGCCCAGTGCATCCCGTTCCTGCTAGTAGAAGATTCCCCATATTTCACTGTTGCTGGACATCCCCTGAAGCTCCTCAAGAGGACCTCATTGCCAACACTGAGCTCAGCATCCCCCAAACAGGCACTTGCTTCCTGGGTTCTCAGTTCATAAGGGAATGCTACCATCACTCAGGTGTGCCCACAGTTAATTTGAGAGTCGCTCTTGCCCCCACCTTCTTCACCCCTCAATAATTCCTGTAGAATCCATCCTGAGAATCTCCCTTTAAAGATTTCTTGAATTTTCTCATCTCCACCTCCTGTGTTATCTCCTACTCATCCTTCCAGGCCTAATCGAAAAAGCTTTCCCTCCCTCCCTTCCATCTCTGTATCCTCATTATAGTTAGTACAAGTTTTTATCAGTGAGCTGACGACTCCAGGTTGAAGCCATGTATGAGTCATTTGGGTGAACCCAGAGCCCAGCATGGTGCTTGGCATAGGCAAGACATCCCTGAGAGTTTCTTTAATGGGTCTACCTACTTTGGTTGTCACTGCTCTAGTACATAATCTTATTAGCTTTCTCAATTTGCACCTGTCACTCAGCTCATCTTTTAGTCTCCAGTTTGTCTTCTTGCAACCCCTCCTCCACACAATTCACTCAGTATGATCTCTCTTTTGTTCAAAATTAACCCTATTTCCCCTTCTTTAAATCCTTCAGTAGATTTCCACCTAGAAGATCTACACAGTGACACAGGCCTGCCCTGCTCTACCCTATCTCTAGACATTTCTTCCGTACCTACTCCCTCCTTTTGCCCTCCTGACACTGTAGCTTTTTGAGCATCCATGCTCTGCACTCAGGGATAGATACTCCATGCCCCATGCCCCCCAGTTCCCTTCTTTAACTTGTTAAGGACTAGCAAGCCTTCATTTTTCCTTCCAAGTCATTCTTCCTCCCCATCTCCTAGAGTCTTGAGTTTGTTGCCTCCTCTGAGTTTTCTTTTTTTTTTTTTAATATTTATTTATTTATTTATTTTCAGAGGACACAACATCTTTGTTTGTATGTGGTGCTGAGGATCGAACCCGGGCCGCACGCATGCCAGGCGAGCGCGCTACCGCTTGAGCCACATCCCCAGCCCCACCTCTGAGTTTTCAATAGTTCCCTGGCTTCCCTCTGATCACATGTATTTTTATTGTTTGGTGAGGCATCTCTATTCAGTCACCCAGCATAAGGTCTAGCATGAAGGAAATACCAGTAAAGGAGAAGGACCTTGTGAGGGAAGCCTTAAGCCCAGTACAGGGTTGGGAAACTTCTATAGTTTGGATCTGGAATGCCCCCCAGAGGCCCAGGTGTTAGTCTTGGTGTTATTGGGAGGTGGTAGAATCTTTAGAAATTGAGGCCTAGTGGGAGATCCTCCATCACTGGGGGTGTGCCCTGAAGGGGATTTGGGGACTCCAGTCTATCTTTTTTTCTTTTTTCTTTGGCTTTTTGGGCATGAAGTGAACTGGTGAACTCCTCCTTCTCCCATACTCCTCCTCCTTCTCCCATACTCCTCCTCCTTCTCCACCCCCTGCCCTTTTGTGTGTGTGTGTGTGTGTTGCTGGGGATTTAAACCAGAGGCGATCTACCACTAAGCTACATCCCCAGTTCTTATTATTTATGTTATTATTTTGTTTTTTATTTTGAGACAGGGTCATGCTACTGACCTTGAACTTAAAGCCCTCTTGCCTTATCCTCCCAAGTAGCTGGGATTGTAGGCATGCCCTACCATAAACAAATTATGTTTGTCATAATTTGTATGTTCTCAGAAAAGGCACTTCCATTCTCTACACCTGTTTCCTTAGTAATAAATTGGGGGCAATGAGTCCTAGTTTATGTGGTTGCCAGGAGGGTTAAGGGGGGTAATAGTTAAGAGGGTTAGGCACCTAGCAGGAGCTAAGTAAATGGGAATCCAAATTGGAAACCAGTACCCCCTGCTTTTAAGGACTAGTTCAACAATTTTTTTGAAACTTTATTTTTGGTACTGGGGATCTAGGGATGCTGAACTACATCCTCCATCCTTTTTTATTTTGAATTTTGAGACAGGATCTTGCTACATTGCTGAGGCTGGCCTTGAACCTGCATGCCTCCTGGCTCAGCCTCTGGAGTCACTGGGATTACAGGCATGCACCACCATACCTGGCTCACTTTAACGATTTTTAAAATCTAGCAAAACTGTAACTACTACTTGCCAGGCATTGTATAAAGAGTAGGGAATGCCTAGCTAGTTCCTGGGTTACTTTCTGCTTCATTTCCTACCAGTTCCCCTTTCCAACAGCACATCCAGGGAGTAGTTAGTATTCAGTTAGCATTGTACTTTCTAAAAATAAATAAATAAATAAATAAATAAAAGAACGACTTACAGGTCCTCGGACATATCATTCTGTGTTGTACTTCTCTGTCTTTCCTACATAGTACTGCATACCCTGCATAGTACTGAATACCCTTTCTTCCTTGTTCATCAAGTGAAATTTGCTGTTTTTCCTTCCTTTCACTGTGCTATTTTAAAAATTTATTTATACCCATGTCATAGCACTGGGCCATAATTATCTATTTGCAAGTCTAACCCCTTGAAGGCAAGGACACTGGGCTGAATATGAGTGGTACTAGATAAACCTTTGAGTAAAGGAAGGATAAGACAAGGTCTTTGCCTTGGAGGAACTCCAAGTGGAGTGAAGAGTCAGATTCATGATAGATTAAAAGTGGCCACAGTCCTTTGTAGCTTTTCCTCTTGAGAGCTGGATTTCCTCATCCCTTGATTAAGGGCTAGCTTTGTGACTTGCCTAATAGAAACTGGTGGAAATCATGTTGTGTGAGTTCCAGATCTAGCTTTGGACTTGCAACTTTGGCCTTTACCCTCTTGGTGAGACATTTCCAGGAGGCTGCTAAGAAGCCAAGAGGCTACCCGGAAGAGGACCAGGGCACTCCAATTTCCCAGACATGTCATGGGACCATTTTGGACCTTCTAGCCCAGCCAGTCCTTAGCTGAATGAGCTGCATAAGTGAGGAAATGCCCAGTAAACCCACAGAACATAAGAAATAATAAGTGGCCAGTGGGTTTTGGGATAGTGAGGTGTCAATAGATGACTGAAACATACCTAAACAGTTGATCACAACATAGGGTGACAGGGGCAATAACAAGGATACACGGGTCATGAGAAAAGACCACCAAGTCTTTTGGAGATGGTATTTGGGCAGGATGTTGAAGGATAATTAGAAATTTGATATGGTGGGGTAAAATAGCACTGTTAGAAGAAGCAGCTGTGTAAAGATAAGGAGGCAAAAAAGGAAAGGCACAGGGCGGGTGGGTAGCATTGAGTCAATGAACATAGGCCATGGAACTCATGGAGGGGAGTAGCAGAAATGGAAGCTGGAAATACAGGTTGAATTTAAATCACGGAAGGTCTTGTTATGCAGAGGATCTTGAACTTTATCTTATAGGAAGTCACTTAATTTGATTTGTCCTTTAAGAGGTAAACTTAGAGTATAGACAGGGTCTTGGGTTTTAACCTGAGAAGCATCTAGATAGGCTCTAGAGGTTTCCTCACTTCCTGAGTTAGTTGCATGTACAATGCTGTATATGAATGTGTGTGGTCATATATGTATTTTTTTAGGCAAGAAACTTTTCTGGTATTCTGTCGAGAATAAAAGAAACACCAACATTTTTGGGGTAGAACAGGGTGTGTGTGTCAAGGAATTGAGGTGATTTTTGCCTGATGGCTATTCTTTTCCTAGTTCAGCAGATGGTGAGACTGATGCTATGAGAGAAGTAGGGCCTCTAGAAGCAGGGCTTTGCTTAGCCTTTGCAGTGAAACTCTCCAGGACAGAGCCTCGTCTTCCTCTCAGACAAGGATGCCCAAGAGGTCATTTCTCTACCTCACATCAGGGTTTTCTGGATCAGGGCAACGTCTCCTTGGGGGCTGACTGGGCTGCTGCTCTCAAATCAGGATTCATGAGGGTGGGGCTTCCTCTCCAGCACTGGCACTTTGGGCTACTCAGTTCAAGCTCTACACAAAGGCATTTATTGGAGGAGGTGCCAGTGGAGGCCCACACTTGGCACTCCACTCTCCAAGCTCTGCACCCTGATTCCAGGCTGTGTCAGCTGGGAGGACAGAGTGCCTGAGAGGACATGTTTCTCTAGTTCCCACCAAGGTTTGGTGTGAGCCAGCAGGGACCCTGGCTCTCCACTGCAGCTTATCACTCCCTACTGTTTTGCTCTCCACCAGAGCAGGGCTGTGTTTCCCAGTTCATATTGGGGATCCCTCAGATGCTCTCCTGCCATTTAGATAAATTTCCTGGAGCAGGCCTTGTTTTCTTCTTTCTGACAAGGGTGCCCAAAGGCAGGGCTCTACCTCTTAGGTAAAAACTTCTGAGGGAAGTTCTTTCGCCTTCCTACACAAAGAAGTGCCATCTATAGCTAAGCTGTTATCCTTAGGCTTCCTTCGTTTTTTGCTCTGATCTTTTAGGACTGTGTGATGACTCCCTTCCTGTTTGCCCACAGGCAATATCTACCTGTTTCTCTATACCGGCCTGATACCAAGTTTTGGCAGGATTGACTGTTGATTTGCTGAAGAGATCCTGCGTGTGTTCCCCACCCCCACTCCCCCAGCAGGGATTGAACCACTGAACCCAAATCCCCAGCCCTTTTTATTTTTATTATTACTTTTTATTTTGAGACAGCATCTTGCTAAATTACTTAGGGCCTCACTAAGTTAGTGCGGCTGGTATTAAATTTGTGATCCTCCTTCCTCAGCCTCCGGAGTTGTTTGGATTATAGGTGTGTGCCTCCATGCCTGGCTACACATCTTTCTTTCGAAGACTAAAATCTTCAGTGATTCTAGCCTATGTCTCTGGCTTTCTTATAAAGCAAAACTCCCTAGGATACTTCCTGGTGGATAGGACACTTGAGAGGTACTCTGAGCCCAGCAGACCCCAGGGGACCTTGGCATCTTTCCTTAAGAACCATCCATCTTTAAGATACATCCATCAGTGGCACCTGGGCCTTCTGAGTTTACTTAGACACAAGAGGGAACCAAACACAGTTCAGTCCTCTTCTCTGACCTCCCTAGGAGGGGAAAAGCTAGCAACAAGCCTGGTCTTGAAGCTCTCATCTAGATGAGCTTATCTCTCATGGCCACCTGCTACTCCCTCCTCACCTGGTATCTGTCTGAGTGGTGCAGATCATCAGTGGCAGATGAATGTGGTGATGCTGTTGGAGATTCTCCTTCCCTCTTGATGGAAGCAGACAACAGGAGGGACTGGAAGAAGAAAAAGGACAAGTGGCCTCAGACCAAATGGGACCTGTAGTCAGTCCCCTGGAGTTACCAGTCCTGTAGAGCTTTTGGGAGTGAAGCAGGAAGAAGTAGGGCAGAGGGACAGAAGACCACCTTTGAGATTCTGAAGACATATGGGCAGGCGCAGGAGTATGGTTATGGGAGAGAATGGTTGATTTTAGGTCTGGGTATAGACTCCCCCCCACCCCAGAGCATCCAAACCTCCATCCCTGCTGCAGTTAATCTTTGCCTCAGGGAGCTGACACTCTCAGTCCACTCTCTGTGGGCTGAACAGTGGGCAGAACCTGCTTTATTCTCCCTTAGAGAGCAGACACTCTGAAACCCCCATGAAAGGTTGGGGGTAAAACCACATATCTACCACCCTGCCTGCCCCTAATACAGGCTGATGGGAGCCCTCTATGGAGACAGTAAATTAAATAGTATGTATGAGTTTCCTGCGTGCAGCTAGGGATGTATGCTGGGTCCATTTATCCCTGTGCTGTGGCGATGACCCCAGCAAAAACCCCAGCAAAACTAATCCCCCCATGTCAATCCTGCACGGCCTCTTCTACATACGCCTGCAGTTTAGATTAATAAACTGTCTACTTTAAATTGTTTGCGAGCACCACAATTCTAAATACCACATGGCACATTCAGCCTGAGAGCCAGCTCTTGCCAAGGCCTTATTCAGCTGCAAACTGGGGGCCCAGAGGCCTAAAAGCAATCCATACTTCCTCCCCCCACCTTCTCCAGCCTGCACAGCTCTGAGAAGGAAGCATACAATTCCCTAGGAGTCCTCCCCAGCCTAGAAAGCCATGCCAAATCGCCAGTGACAGCCCAAAGAAAGCAATTTGGGAAAGATGGAGCAACCATTTATCCTTCATCTCCAACTGAGCCTTAGGATGTGACCCGCATGCCGTGGCCATGTTGCACATCCTCAGGCAAGGGCTCTGGGAAGGGAAGGGGCAGCTGCTGATCTGGCAGGGATCCCTGACTCGCCCACGGCTCAGAGAGGAGGCTGCAGAGAGCCTGGAGTGGGATTCCCTGCAACTGGCAGCTCCTTTTTCACCCACCCAAGCCCAAAAAGAGGCCTGTGGCCAACTCAGCCCCAGATCAGAAAGAAGGTGATGTCAGGCAATGTCCTTCTCCTCTGGTCCCAACGCTGAGGAGGGTGAACAATGTGGGTCCCCCACCATGAAAAACTCATGCTTGTGTGCACTTTCTCTCTCTCCCTCCCTTCCTTCCTCTCTCTTTTTCTCTGGGTTAGAAGCCCTGAGAGGCCTCAGCATTACACCTGGGGCAAGCAGAATAAAAAAAGGTCACTGGTGCTTTTTAAACATGGACCAAAAAGCAGTAAAATGTGTTTTGAAAAAAAAATCTCGGCATTAAATCATGACTTTTTGCCTGGCTCTTCGCCTCATTAAAAGTGGCCTTTTGGAAGGTAAAATTATCATTGTAAGCGATAAGATCTTTAAGAAAATAATTCACGGCTTCTTCACCCTTTAATATGATAGCCGCCACCGGCTAATTTTTTTCTTAATGGCAACGAGGCCATCAATCTTGTCTAAGGCCTCCTCGCCCTCTCCTCCTCCTCCCTCCCGCCTTCTCCCTATCTTCCTAGTCTCTTGCTTCAACCTTCTGCCTCCTACCTCTTTCCCCCATGACCTGCTTCCCTAAAGCTGAGGTCAAGGCCAAGGATAGGTCAGGAACTGTTCAGCTGTGAGGATTAAGCGTATATCTGGAAGTGGGTGAGCAAGTGTCTCTTGTCTCATCTGGTGGCCACTCTTCCTGTGTATGTGGTTGTGGGAATGTGCCCAAGTTTAAGACTTCCTGTGTGTGTATTCTGACCAGGCTTTGTGTATGGGTCTGCATATGTGGGAGGTAGGAATGGATGCAGATTTTCAGGATTTGGCCTTAGAATATTTGGCCTTTCTGGTGTCCAAGTTCCCAAACCTGCCAGCCATGCTCAGATGTCAGATGTCACTGGTGTATCGGCCAATGTGCAAGTTTTGTCATGACCTTCCTTAACCACACCATTCAGTGCTGCAGGCTGGGCTGAGCTTGGCCAGTGTGGCTCCCTACCTCTGTGAGTTGCAGTTGCCTGGCTTTCCCACCTTTCTCTTTGGGGCTGGCAGGCCTTTGCCTCCTTGGCCAGGGCTTGCACCAGTCCAAAGCTGGGCTCAGTTCTCTGCTTCTCTTCTTCCAGCTGACTGCAGCTGAGAGACTTCTAAAATGAAGGTGCCAAGTTCACCTTTATCCTTTGTAAAGGCCTGCAGAATAGTGAGGCCAACCCTGCAGAAGTGAAACCTATCACTTTGGCTCTTTTTCCCAAAACGACCCTCTCAGAGGTCACCAATGACTTTAAGTCTTCCAAATACAGTGGGTCCCTCACCAGCTTTTCCCTTTTGCATTGCTGAGCACCCATACATTCCAAAACATTTTTTTCCTTAAGATCTCGGGATACTATGTTATCCTGTGGTCCTCCTAACACACTAACTGTCCCTCCTCTGTCTCCTTCCCAGCCTTCTGGACCTCACCTTGACTGGAAGTGCAGGATTCCTGAGATTCCCTGAGCTTCAACACCCACGCCTCACTCCCTATAATATGCACTAAGAGGGGGTTATTTTGAAAACTTATAAGAAGGGCAACCATATGCCGGGGGTGGAGCAGGGGATACTTATTGGTAAGGGCTTAGTGTTCCTCTCGAGGTCCTCATCCCTTCCAAATCATCATCTTTGGAGAAGAAGTACCATCTTCTTCTGTAGGGAGTTCTCAGCATAAATTATGTTATTATACTAAGTTTCTCTGGCCCCTCCTTTGAGACAGATACTCGCCCTTCATGTTTCCTTTCTCCATCTGATGCTTTCAAGGTTCTCTTCCATAATGTGTGTTTAGAGGGGCAGACTGTCTCCTTCGATCACCAACATCCTCTCTGGTTCCTTATTGCATTGCACATACACCCAATGGTCTGGCTTCTAAGGCCTTGCACTGTCTTTAACTCAGTTTCTATATTTTTCTTCACCTGCTACAGCTCATCTTCCTCCTTTTAGTCTCCCAGCCTTAGTGTTTGGGTTGCCCACATCCCCAAGCCACTCTTAACTCTGATCCCTCTCCTTCCTCCTAGGAGGAAGTCAGATGAGCATATCCTTACTCACACAAAGACACCCCCATCCCCACCCCACACACACAGTAGCTCTAGGCCTTAGGTTGATGTTCAAACCCAGGAGACATTGGGTATCCAGGAGGAGCTCCTTTCTCTCAGGAAGAACCAGATCTGGGTAGAATTAGGTCAGGATGGACAGGAGGAAAACATAATTGACCACCTACCTTGGGGGTGCCTGGAGCCATGGCATCCTTCAGAAGGGAATTCTTGCTGCCAAGAAAGAAGAAAACAGGGTTGATCGTTATACCTGCTGCCCAGGATATGTAAAGCTAAAGTACCAAGAAGAACCTAAGAGAGATGGTATAGCCAGCCTTACCCAGCCAGCTTAGCCAAGTACCACCCAACCTATTCTACACAGTGGCCTGGCCTACTTTATCAGCCTTTATCCGGGGCCAAAGGCCATGCTGATCACGGGTAGAGAGTTACACATACAAGGCATGGGAGACTCCTCAGTGGATCTGAGGAAAGGAACTTATACCTGACTCCTGGGATTAGCCCTAAAAATTCTGCCTGCCTAGGAGGCTTCCTTTCTTTCCCCATGCCCTGTCCCCAGCCTGTTCTTCTCTCCTATGGGATTGGGGTGATGAAGCTGACATGGCTCTTGTCAATTCTCCCTCCAACAAGCTGCAAACTGTGTTAGGCCAGGAATGATCTCCCCCTGATTCAATTTGTCAGCCCCAGGCCCTCCGGCATCGGGCGCGGCAGGCGGGCGGGAGCTGGGCCCTGAAATATGGTGGGCAGCTCAGAGCAGGCGGGGGCCGGGGCGGGAGGTGATGGATGGGCTGTGGGGGAGGCGAGGACTGTGTTTAATAACAAAATTGGTATGCAAGGCCACATCCCGCGCTAAGCATGAGTGATCCAGAGCCACAAAGTATTACAAATCCCCGCTAAACAGATGCTGACAATGGAACAAGACGTATCAAATCAGATCCACTTCAGAAACATTAATATCCCTGTTCCTGTCCCTCCCTGCCTGCTGCCCCCGCTATGCTCACCACATTTGTGCTCACACATTTGCTTGAGTGCACACACACAAATACAAATACATGTATACAGAGGTGCTGGCCAATACATGTACAAAGGCAGATGCAGCCCATTTTTATAGGGTCTCCACATAGACACACATACATGTGGAGCACATCCATGGAAACATCCAGAAGGCACAAAAGATATACACACATCCAATGCAGAATATGTGAGATGTATATGAATATACTAAGTCTGTTTACCTAGGGAATACCAACAAGAGCTTGGCTAGTATGCACAAGGCCCTGGGTTCAATCCCCAATACCCCAGGATGGCTTAAAGAACCCCAAAAAACAAAAAACAAAATAAAACAAAAAAACATAGGAAACACCAACAGATGTGCTTAGACATCCACAGGGTCAGACTTAGACACACCCAATGTGCAAGTAAAACACAAGCAGATTTGGATAAAGTAGTGACCTCAATGATGGGGAGGGCTGTTTGCCAGTACAGGGAGTATTTCTGTGTGTGTGTGTGTGTGTGTATGTGTGTGTATTGCAGTGCTGGGCATAAAATCTAGGGTCTTACATATGCCAGGCAAATGCTCTACTATTGAATTAAACCCCCAGTCCCTGGAGATAGTTTTGATTGTTGAAACTTGGGCGGGGAGAGGGGGATTACTACTGGCATCTAGTGGGTAGAAGAAGCTAAACATCCTACAGTATCATGGACAGCTCCTCACGATACAGACTTATCTGACCCAAAATGTCAATAGTGCTGAAGTTGGGACACACATATCCACAGACTATAATGCTGCCAATAGGCACATATACATATGCAGTTACACCTAGAGAGTGCATACAACACAGGGCTGCAGGGTCATAATTCCAGAGATGTGGCCATAAAGACAAATTCAATGCGAGGAAAATCTGCTCATGCACACAGGTCCACATAAACATGCACAGGTAAGACATCCACAGGCACTGACACAAACCAAGATGCACAGTCATCTCCAGAGGTACACACATATGGGCATACATACAAACACACATATACCACAGTGCAGAGGCCCTTGGTTCAGCAATACGGTAAAACCAAGGTCTGAGTGTAAGAAAGAGCTATCTACCAGTCAGATCACACAGAGGGGGCATCGTAGACTAAGAAGGACAGACAGAAAAGGTCCCATTCAATTACCTTTCATTCCCGTCCATTTTAGGCCTTGATCTAGGCATTGGAGATACAGAGGGGAAACTGAGCTACTCTCAAGGAGCAACTTGTTGGTGAGTTCATGACTTTTATCATTACTATACTCTTCAATTCACTCAGTAAGCAAGTACTAATATCACCTTTCTGCCTACATAGTGAGGCATCCAATGTATACAGTGTATTTACTAGGCCCTATCCCCAACTGGGATATAAGTAGTATCTAGTTGGATCAAGTAAGAACAGAAAAGGAAAGAATGAACAATTATTGTACACCCACTATATATCATAGTTACAGGCTTCCCTGCACCTCCACAGACACTGGGGATTGAACCCAGGAGTGCTTTACCCCAGAGCTACATCACTCCTTTTTTGAGACAAGGCCTCACTAAGTTACTCAGACTGGCCTCAAACTTGTGGTCTTCCTACTTCAGTCTCCTGAGTTGCTGGATTTCAGGTGTGCAACACTGTGCCTGCCTAAGACACAGGCTTTGAATGTCTTATCTCACTGAATCTTCACAAAAACTTTACAAAGTTGACTAATGAGTTATGTGACAACTTTGTGTTCACAGTCTGTGGAGGGTTTGGGATTTGAATTTGTATCTGACCAAATCTGAAGTGTTGGTTTTTATTTTATTTATTTTTTGAGACAGGAAAGGAGGAGTCTTGTTACATTGCCGAGGCTGGCCCTGAGTTCCTGGGCTCCTGAGATCCTGCTGCCTCAGCCTTCCAAGTAGCTGGGACTACAGCCTCCATGCTCACACAAAGTGTTAATTTATATATATTTAGTTGTTGATGGACCTTTATTATTATTTTTAAATTTGTTCACTTATATGCGGTGCTGAGAATCAAATCCAATGTCTCACACATGCTAGGCAAGTGCTCTACCACTGAGCTACAACCCTGGCCCAGAGTGCTTATTTTTATATATATATTTAGTTGTAGTTGGACTCAATACCTTTATTTTATTTATTCATTTATTTTTATGTGGTGCTGAGGACTGAACGTAGTGCCTCTTGCGTGCTAGGTGGGCGCTCTACTGCTCAACCACGACCCCAGCCCCCAGAGTGCTCATTTTTAATTGCCCACATCATCTTTCTAAGGATATGCAGGGCTCAGGCTTATTTGCAGAACTCTGAGTTTTTTTCTCCTCTGCTTGCTGTGTCGCTTTGGGGATGGTCTTACTGACCCTGGGCTTCACTTTGCTGATAAATAGATTTGGGCCATTCAGGGTCAGGATGTCCAGCCTCTTACTTGGTCAAGTTCATGTTCTGGATCTTTTCCTAGCAATGCTCTTTCCTTTCCTTGCATGGAGCTCATACCAGCTCCTATTCTTTCCCTTGCCCTGAGCAAGGGCCCCTCCCTACCTTTCCTCCATCAACCCCATCACCTCCAAGTTTGTTTGGTCTCCCAGAGACTGAGGAGTCTGGTGAGGGGCCTGTCTTGGAAAGAGAGGTCTGTGCTCTGGGAGCTGTTGGCAGCCCATCTCCCGCCCAGTCCATCAGCTCTGCCTTCTGTCCCTCCCTGTTTCCACAGCCCACCCTCAACGATTTCCTCCCTTGCTCAGCCACTCGCTGCCTAGTGATCCATGGGTTTTAAATTATAACTGGGACCCAGGAAATGCGTTCCTAAGTACAATATTCATGGGCTGGGCTGACACTTTTAATTAAGGTGATTTACACTGAATTATCCTTGGAAATAAAGAAATGGTGCACTGCCCGGGAATAAACCATCATCACCAGCCGCCTTTGTAAGTTACACTTCGTTTTAATCTATTTGGGGAATTGTTTATCTAGTTCATTACCCAACCAAACACCGAGGCCGGCCTTAAATAAGGCTTAAGTGGGGGTGAGGGCACTGCCATCTCTATAGCCCGCCTCTCCTCCAGAGTCACCCAGCCTCCATTGGCTTATTTCAGTTCTCTTAGAGCTCTGCCCAAAGAGGTAGTTCTCCAGCCCAGAGGCCAGCTCTCATAGTGACTCTAGAAGCCTCCGAGAGAAGATCTCTGAGCTCAGGCCCCAAGAAGCCAACCTGCACCTTCAGCTTTGTGCAATCTTGTCATGACTAAGGCTGTTTCTTTCCTCTGGGTGGAAACTCCTGCCTGAGGGCCACAGAGAGGTCTGGGACCTGTTCGTCCATCTTCAGCTCCCATCTATGTTCCCGCTTGTCTCTGTACACATGCAGTTCCTACCCTATCACCACCCCAGAGGTGTCTTAAGCTCAGCTTGCCCAGAACCCTGCCTGTTGCTTCCTCCTCTCTTCAGTCACTTGTTTCTCTGCTACCACCACCCTCTCAATCATCCAGGTCAGAAAGTTTTCTCCAATTAAGTACTCCAGTTAAGTCTTCTGACTTCTTCGTCCTCCAGGTGTCTCACCATCCCTTCTCCTGCATCCCCACCGCTACTGCCATTGTCCTAGGGCAGGCTCATCAAGCATCCTCTGCACCTGGCCCAACCTCCTCATTTGCCTCCCTGCTTCTGCCCCCAGTCCATACATGCCACTGGCTTCCAGAGCATTTCTTCTGCAGCCCATCTTGCTCTGAGAGAGCTTCCTCCTGGCTCACAAATATTCTCATTACTGCTACTACGTTTAGGACTCCTTCCAGCATGGAATCTGTCCTCAACCGAACATTGTCCTTGTTCTATCTGCTAAATCCTGGGGTCTAAAGGAGCCCTTGTGCAGGACTGAGGAAAGACGGGTGAGGAGGGTGTGTGAGCATTGTCTCTGATCTCAGATGTAAAAATGTTTTGAAAAGTCTATGTGCTGTGCCAAAGGAAGTTCTGACTACTTTTTCTGGGAGGTTCTGGCTGGCCATGTACCCGTGGGAATGGGCATCTTTGGGAAGGTGGTTCTTTCAAGGTTGTGTGAGCACATTTATGTATGTGGGAATGAGATTTATGCGCACACCTATGTGTTGTGCCTGTGTTTGTGAAGGGTAAGTTCCCTGATTTTCCTGTGGGCCCCTGGGTGTGACCAAAATAGCATCTGGTTGCCAAAGAGGCCTGCTTTGTGCTGTTGGGTTGACAGAACTGATGGCAGAACAGCCCCACCTGGAGAGCCACTCAAGCAGAGCCACGTGGGAGAGAGGCACTCACCCAGGTTGATGCAGGGCACCCTGGCAGCAGCATCCAAAGATTCAGGAGTGGGCCAGCCTAAGGAAAGTTCCCAGAGGCAAAGAAGACAAGGCAGGGTGAGACAGGGAAAGGGTCAGTTGGAAAGCAGAAGGCAAGGGCTATCAGGGGTAAGAAGAGAGAGGAGCAGCTGGGAGAGGGAACAAGGGGAAAAACAAGAGAGAATTGGAGAGCTGGGGAGGAGGCCTTGGTCACAGGCTGTAGATGGCGTATTGCCCGCGGTTGGGCTCTGCCCTCTTATGGGACTCAGTTTCTCCATCTGTGAAATGGCCACTCTAAGGTCCCTCTCTGTCCAGATGTCGATGTTGGGAGAAGAAAGGTGGGCACATGTGTCAGAGGCCTTGGTGTCTCATCTTTTCGCAGCCTCTTTTGCTCTCCTTCTGTCCTCTGGAGAGCTGGCAGGGGCGGGGCAAGGACAGCCAAGGCTGGGGCTCCCTCCACGCCGCCCGCCCCGCCCAGCGCACGCACGCGGCCCGTCAGCCTGGAGGGAGCTGACACGCTCCTTGGGAATTTATCACGCACCCAATTACAATGTTAATTGGCAAGTTCCTGAAATCAATTAATTCGCAAATTTTTTCCAATTAAAAATCCAGATAAATCACGAGGGCGGCGGCGGGCCGGTCCAGCCTGCAGTCCAGTGGGCGCAGCGGCCGCAGGGAAGGGAGCGCGGGCGAGGAGAGGGGAGGGGGCGGCGGGCGCGGCTGCCCTTGAACGCCTTTGCCGGCCGGTCCGACTGTCAGCACGCCGGGCGCGGCGGGGCCGAGACAGATAAAACCATCGACCCGTCGCCGCCAGCGCTTCGGCTTTATCGATCCGACGGGAATTTCACTTGCTGTGCAGATCCCGCTGTCCGGCTGTCAGACACCCGCTGGTGGGGAGGGGGGCGTGCCGGGGGCACAGGGCGGCGTGGGCGAAGGGGGTGCTGGGCAGGACCCGGACGTGAGGGGACTGATGCTGGGGACATCAGCAAGACACAGCCAGAGGGGCAGGAAGCAGATGCGGGGTGGGGAAAGGTACAGGGGTTTAGGGTGTGCAGAAAGGGGATGCTCCTGGGAAGACATGGGGGATGAGGGATTGTGCAAGGTCCTGGATGGAAGTCGAACTAGGAAGGCTTTGGGCATTAAGGGATGGCCTGGGCAGTACAGGTGTGTGTGTGTGGTGGGGGGATCCCAATGAGGAGGCAGAAAGAGAGTTCCCATTCTCCAGACCCTTGGGTACACTGCCTTTACCAGACTCTGCAGGTCCCTCCATCTCTGCCTCTGTTTTCAGTTTCCTGAGACATCCTTCATTGAGAGCAAATTACACAGAACTCTTCTTGGACAGCGAGGTATGGCACTCAGCAGCAGGATGTTTCTTTCACTTTCTACCCCTGGCAGGTCAGTCTTGGTTGTGTAAGTGTTTGGGGGAGGTGGCATTAAAAGCACAGGCACCGGAGTCAGATTTCTTGAGTTGGAATTCTATCTTTACCACTTATTAACTGTGAAGTCACTTAACCTTTCTGTTTCCTCATCTGTAAAATGGGTAATAATTAGAGTTATGTACCACATAATGATGTTTTGGTCAATGACCCACTGCATGTGTGACAGTGATCACATATTATATCACCTTGTGATATTGTAGCCATCTCAGTCCTGTAAGTGCATTTTATGATGTTTGCATGACAAAAATGACATTTCTTAGAACACATCCCCATCATTAAGTAATATACAACTGTACCACTTACCCCAAAGTGTTGCTGTGAAGATTAAATAAATTAAGGCAATGTAAAGTAGTTGGCACATAGTGAATGTTCAATAAGGATTATTATTATTAGTAGTAGTCTTCTTTGGGGGTTTTAAAGTATGCCCACAAACTCTTTTGATACTCCTCCTTTCAAGAAGCAGAGCTTATAGAGCTTAATTTTCCTCCCTTGAGGGACTGGGCTTGGTGACCTGCTTCTATTGAATAGAATAGCATATAGGGGAAGCGATAATGTGTGAATTCCTAGACTATGAAAGGCATTGTGGCTTCCCTTGGATCACATGTTTGTGGGAATTCAACTGCCATGTCAGAGGGAAACTCAAGCATCCCTCAGAGAGACCTACATGTCAAGGAACTGAGGTGTCCTGCCAACAACCATGTGAGTCCGCCATGTTAGAAACAGATCCTACCATCCCAGTCAGATTTTCAGATGACCACAGCCTTGATTAACATCTTGAGACTGTAGCCTCATGAGACGCCTCATGAAACCAGTAGCCACAACTACCCACAACCACTCAGCTAAGCTGCACTAGAATTGATGACCTACAGAAACTGAGATTATAAATGTTTTAAGCCACTAGATTTGGGGATAATTTGTAACATAGAAATTGACAACTACTACTTCTTCCTTCAGTGTTCTTTCCTCAGAGCTGGGCACAGTGGCACATGCTTGTAATCCCAGCTACTAGGGAGACTCAGGCAAGAGGATTACAAGTTTGAGGCCAGCAAGGGTAACTTAGTGGGAGCTTGTCTCAATATAAAAAGGGCTGGGGATTTACTTCAGTGGTAGAACACCTCTGGATTCAATCCCTTGTACCTACACACACACACACACACACACACAGCCTCCTCCTTCAAGAAGCCTCCTTTACTTTGTGCTGGGTTCGGTGCCTCCATGATACCCCCACAGCTCCAGCTTTTCCCATATAGCAACTTCTTTGCCTTGGGGTTTGTAGTGCCTGACTCTGTATTCTCATATTCTGAGCTTCCCAGGACAGGGACCATTTTGGATCTTTTGCACCCTGCATGGGAGGTTAGGTAGGAGAGTAGAAGGAAAGCAGATCATTCAGGTTTGATGACTTGAACTAAACAAAAAGCAGTGGGATAGGGAGAACCCCCTGTTCTCTTCTACGATATGACCTTGCCACTCCTCCCATCAAAAGGGGCACTTTTCCTTTTTCCTTGCATCTGGGTGGGCTAATACTGCCTTCATCAATAGAGTACAGTGGAAGTGACATTAAATGACTTCTGAGGCTAGGTTATAAAAGGTGATTTAGCTTCCATCTCATTGGCTGGGACATTTGCTTTTGGAGTCCTAAAAATCTACCTATCCCAAGGTTATTAAGCTGAGAAAGGCCAGGTCATATGGGAAAGTCATGTGCAGGTGCTTTGGTCCCAGCCCCATTTGAGGTCCCAGCTGATAGCCAGCATCAACCTCCAGATGATCCCAGCTCCCAGCCACTGAATCTTTCCCTAGACCTCTGGAGCAGACACTATCCCCTCTGTGCCCTGTCTGAATTCCTGACCCCACAGATTACACAAGCATAATGGAATAGCTGCTTTATATTGTTAAGATTTGAGATAAGTTTTTATACCTCTCCTCTGCTCCCCTCAGGGTCCAGCTCCTCCTCAGCGTCCTTGAGGAGGTTCAGCCTCCTGTCTATGGGGTGGGAACATACCTGAGCACATTCTCAAGATTGTTACCTCCCAGTCCTTGAGATTGATGGAGATGGTACTGCTCACTCTCCTGGAAGGCAGAACCAGGCTGAACTTCTGATGGGGCTGCCAGGTCTCATACCAGCTTCTTTATTCTGCCCCGAAGCCTTACATGGCAATAGTAAGCCTGGGGCAGTAACTATGGCAGTACTAGGCCTAGGGCAGTGACTCACTCCTTTCCAACTCCTCTTCTTATCTTTGAGGCTGGGGCCCAAGGGGTCACTCTCCAGTACCATTCAGCTGGAGGATCTGAGGATTGAAAGCTGAGTGGTGGAGAATGACAGCAGGATCCTGGCTTCTCCATAGAGGCTGGGGTGTGGCCAGGTGGCTACTCCTGAAACCTGGTGGCTGGAGCTTCAGTGAAATCCTCCAGTGTGCAGGCTCCCCACAGGGGACTTACCTGGTGGGCAGCTGGGCCAGCTGCTCCAGTTCTTGTTCCATATGTTCTTGTAACTCGCTGGGCCTCAGCAGGACCTGGCAGATGGGGCAGATCGGGGCCTGGCTGTCAAACAATGCTGCTGCTTTCTTCTTACCTGGCAGGCGAAGGATAGACACGCATTAGCTGTTCCAGTCCCTATAGGAAAACTCAGCCATATTGGCTACCACCCCCTAGGGCTTCTTCTTCTTTTTAAAATATTTTGTATTAGTTATTGATAGACCTTTGCTTATTTATTTGCTTATATGTGGTGCTAAGAATCGAACCCAGTGCCTCACACGTGCTAGACAAGCGCTGTACCACCGAGCCACAACCCCAGCTCCTCCTAGGGCTTCTTGATCTAGAAGAGTGGTGAGTCGGAGGGTCTGAGAGCCCACAAACATCACTCATTTTTGAGCTCCAGATGCTGTGGCCATAAATGGTGCCTCCTCAGCTAGCTGCCCCTCTTGGAAGTCTATTGGGACACAATGCTCTGTGCAATCAAACTTGATCACTCCATTTCACACATGTTTAATCATACCATCACCCAGAATATCTATCTAGATGTTCCCTGACTTTCTCCTTTCCTCATTGATTTCACAGTTATCAGATCTGGAGAAGAAAGACAAGAGGGAGAAAGGAGAATGGTTTCTGCAGTCATTCAACAACTATTCCCTCATACTCACTCCAAAATAGACATGTGCAGAAGAGTGTCATCCTAGAATGGAATCAGATCTAGTCCCTGCCCTTGAGGACCTTGCAGTCAAGTGGGAAAGACCAACAGAGTCTAGGTGATTTCCAGAGCAGCATTCTCTCATTTTTTTACTTTTCCTCAAGATTCTGTCCTTAACTTCTGCTCTCCTCATTCTGCGTGCTGAATGCTATAGTTTATTCTATAGCTATAATTCCTACCCATGTCCTATTGACTGCAGATTCTGTATTTCTACCCCAGATCCCTCCAGACCCCTATATCCAAATATATAATGAACATCAATGCCTGAATGTTCCAGAAATATCTGAAACTCAACAATTCAAATTGAGTTCTTCAACTTCTTCATTCCTTGCAAACTTACTCCTCCTTTAGCAGAGCCCATCACTGTAAATGATACCTTTATTAATCTACTCACCCAAGCCAGTAATAGCCTCACCATCCACTCCTTCTCTTGCCTTTCCACCTCTTGCACACTTAACTACCAAGTCCTGACCAGTCTACTTTAATATTCCTGGAATCTATAGTCTTCCCATTCAGGTCTCACTATTTCTTCCTTGGACAACTTCATTGGCCTCTGTAGGTCTCACTGATTCTGAGTTTTCGTCTCCAAAATATCCTTTAAGTTGTGTATATCCCCAATATATGAGTATATTGGGAGCCACCTGGGAGCCTGAACTCTATTCCTGCTTGGTTACTAACGATATCCAGAATAAACTAAGCTAGGAAAGAGCCCTCTGTTTGCTTAGTTTACCCCTCTTGGGATGTCTAAACCCATCCAGTGTTTTCTCAGCCTCTGCTTACAAGCATGAGGATTGAGGAGCTAGAAACATCTCTAGCTATCCATGGATAGCTGTAGGAAGGACTTTTTTTTTTTTCCTTTTAACATTGGGGAAGACACTCAGAGCCTTGTACATGCCTGGCAAGTACTCTACCACTGAGCTACCTCCCCAGCCCTTTATTTTGAGACAGGGTCTTGATAATTTGCCCAGGTTGGCCTGGAATTTGTGATTTGCTTGCCTTAGCCTCTCAAGTAGCTGGGATTACAGGCACATATCACCTTGCCCAGTTTTAAAAGGATTTCTTTAGCTTGACCCCAGTTCTTCCTCCTTGCTGCTTCTTCCTATTGGTACCTGGAGAGGTTCAAAATCAGTTTGGGAAGATAAAAATCATGCCAGTGATGACCAAGATGGTCACCTGGGTAGGGTTGGCAGGTTAATACAGGATGCCCAGTGAAATTTGACTTCATATAAGCAATAAATGATTTTGTAGTATGAGGATGTCCCAAATATTGCATGGGACATATTTATACTAAAAACCATTTCTTGTTTTTCTAAAATCAAATTTACCTCTAGATTTCTTTCCTATATTTTTATTTGCTAAATCTAGCAATCTTATACTTGAGTATAATTTCAGACTGAGTGCAAGAAACTACCTCCCTTTGATGCACTCTGAGCAGGATTAAAACTTCTCTGGAGGCCCAGGGAGAGTCATATGAGGGCTCAAAGGAAGGAGCAATTCATTCTGAGTGTGTTTTGGGGAGTGGAAACAGAGAGAAGGCTTAACTAAAGAAATGAAATTTAAGTTGCAGCTTAGAAGTATACCAGGCAGGGAATGGGAGCAAATGAATGAATAAATTAGTGAGTTGTAATTTCCTTGTAGACAGGAACCATTTCATATCCATTTGTATACTTACAGACAATTTATAGCAGGTTGTGCATAAACTAGATGTTCAGTGATGAAGCAAAAGAAAGGAAGAGGAAGGGAAGGAATAACCATCAGAGTGTCCTAGAAGTCAGATAATGTTTGCAGAGCTAGGATGTTAGCTGTGGAGGCTTTATGTATGTCAGGGTGGTATAGGTGTGGCCCAGCCTGCATGGCTAGGTCTCTGAGGAGGGGAACAGATCCTACTGTCCTGTGCTTTGGTGGCTGGGCCTCAAGTGTTCAGGGGACAGCTGGAGTGCAGCTCTGAGTAAAGGAAGTATGTGTGGCCCCGGTGAGAGGTGGGAAATGAGGATTCTAGTCTCAGTTCTGTTCCTTGTTTCATTCAGTCAGAGACTCTCAGAGATGAGTGAAGCCCTAGGAATTCTCTCAGCTATTATCTTTATTCTACAGATGGGGAAATTGAGGCTTAGAACTGGACAGGGACTGCTGAACTTGGCTTTTGATTCCATGGCTTCATTTATGTATTAATTCAGCAAATGTTTATAAAATAACCATTTTATGTCAGGCATTGGGGAGACTGGAGTTCAGAGATAAGTAAAACACATTCTTAGCCTCTAGGAGATCACCTATTAGTGGGAAAGCAGGAACGATGAGGGATGCTGTGGAAGGGCAGGTGGCCAGAGGGAGGGTTGGTAGGAATGAAGGCAAAGGTGATGCTTAAGGGGTGGCATGAAGGATAAGTAAGGGAAAGTTGACCAGGTTGTTGGAATAGCTCATTGCAGCAGGGTCTGAGGTTTAAAAGGAGAAATGGTGAGAGAGAAGGATGGTAAAAGGAGGATCCAGGATATATGGTCTGAGCTGAGGTGGAAACTTCAGGGGTTCAGGCCCTTTTTTCCTAGATACCAAGTTTGACTCTTAGGGCTTCCTGGGGCTCAGATTCCTCTTCCCATATTTGGAGGCCAGGCATCAGCATTCCCAAATACCTGTTCTCATTTCATTTGCTTCGCTATCACTAGACAGTCTGCTTTTCTGAGCTTGGCCTCAGTTTTCCTGTGGGGACAATGGGCCTTCTTGGCTTCCAGCTTCAGGAATAATACTGACAGGGATCAGCGGAAGAATCCTATAGTCTGTGCCCTCCATCCCACCTCCATTTTCTCAGGGGTTAGAGTGGCAGGTGTCAGCATGGCCACGGCCCCCTGCTTCCCCTCCCCCGCTGTGTTCCCTATAATTTTATATTGAGACCTGTGGTCATGACGTGGATTTTACTGCATTAACGACATGGCCTGCCCAGGTTTAATGACAAAATCCATACTCTGGCCCTGGGCCTGCTCCTCGTTTGCATAATTCCCAGAATACAGCTCCCTGAAGCTTTTGACCTGGGCCATTACAGTGGCCATAAAATGGGCCATAAAACCGCTGGGGATGGCCAAGAGGAGGGGGCTGTGGTCTTGCTGGGGTGGGAATGAAGCCCTCAACCCTCTACTCTTCATAGGCTTGGGTGGAGGCATCCTCTGGCTCTTCCTTTCCACAGTTCCCAGAATCTGGAAGTCCATCTCAGGCCAAAGATACCCCCAGAAATCCTTAGTCCAGCTACCCATCCTGTACAGAAATCCCTTCTCCAACTCTGTTGTCAGCATCACAGGTAGCCGCCAGAGCCTACAGGAGGCAGACTGTCAGCAAGCATCCTCTCCTTGAACATTCCTGGTGCTGCCCTTGACAATTCCCCCAACTGTTGGGCAAGGCCTTTTGCCACAGGTGGGTCTAGTTCACATAAGCCTAGGTTGAATCTTGTCTCTCTCCAGGAGGCCTAGTTCCCTGGAGAGGTCAGGAGCCAGGCTGAGCCGCATAGTAGGGAGCCGCGGAGGGGATGGGGACAGGGACTGGGTCAGGCTGTCAGTGCTAAAGATGATGAATGGGGGAGGTGAGGCGGGAGGCCCAGTGTTATCGGCGGTGGATGGCGGGCGCGGGCGCTCGCCGCTCCTGCTAATCCCCGGGCGCTGCCTCAGCCCTTGCACTGATAACGAGGAAATGGGACTGACAACAATTTTTAGCTGAGAGATTCTTCACCAAAATGCCAGGCGGCCGGAGGTCTGACAGCGCCTGATTGAGTGTGTGAGTGTGTGGGGGGAACGCCCGCAGCCCCCTCCCCTCCCATGCAAAGATGGATCGCTCATTCCGCCTCCCGTCCACATTCATTACCGCGCCTCCCTCCCACCACCCCTGCCGCTGTAGGGCCTGCCACCTCCACTTCCCTGCCTGCCTGCCTAGGTATCTCCAAAGCAAGAGGAGGGCGGGAGGAGTCTGACCCTGTCCCCAGCCTTACACAGGGCACTGTCTCAGAGAGCAGGGAGGGAGCCCTGCCAGGGTGTCAGGACAGTCAGGTCCTGGTTGATGGCTCCCTAGTCAGAGTGACCTCCAGGGGAGGCTTGGGGAGCTGCTAGACTTCCTATCCCACCAGGTCCCAATAAGGCTCCAACAGGAATCGGCTGTCTGTAAAAGGTGAAGGGGGACTGACTGAGTAGAGAGAAGAAGACAAGCCAGGGCAGCCCTCTAGCAGCCTGGGCCAGGCTCCAGTCTATCCATCTGTCCAAGTTTTGCAACAAGGCCTCAGGTATGTGGGGGTCTAGATTAGCCCTCTGCTGCCCCCCTCTGTTGGGAATTGCTGACCATTGGGAACAGGTAAGTGGGCCCCACACATGCTGCTCCTTCCCTGCCATCTTCTTCAGTGAGTACTGGACACCTGG